GGCGTAATTGTAGGTTTTTTCGTTGTTGACGCTTTCAATGTCGTTGTTAATCTAAGACCTTTGATGGTATGCATTCACAGAGCTTGAAGCTTAATTGGAATTGACAGTTTGCGAGACACAATGCGGAAGGAGTGGTGCGTTTCTTCACCCTACAATCCCCTGCCACCTCTACTAATGCTGACGAGACTCTTGTGAGGGTGTAACCACGCGATTCCTTGTCAAATTACCGCAATTATCGTGGTTGTCATCATGTTTTCACTAAATGTTGGAATCAGGAGGCACCAGTCGACGTGTAGTTAATTTCATCATACCCCTGTAAAGATTTGTGATTGTAGCTTTAAGCGTTGCGCTGTTCAAATTCTGAGATATTTTTCATCCTAGGGAAGGTCCGTGTTAGAACACCTTAGCATCGCTTTGACTGTTTAGCAAATAATCGATTCGATTTTCGGTGTTAAACGGTCTTGAAACGGGTTGAGCCAATCGCGTGCTTGGCACGTTTTCCACATGGGATTCACAAGGAAAAACGACTTGCAGTTTTACCGAAATCGCTGACTGCTTTGTCTCCGATGCTTCACCTACGCTTCTGGGTGCTCTTTCAACACGGATGTGTCTCTCCGTTTTCTGGAGTTCTTTAAAAAACTCAAGTTGTGTTTTTAAATAGTTTAGTTTCGATGACAGCTGGTTTTGGGGGACGCCGTTACAAAAAAAGGCTTCGTGTTTCACGTCAGTTGCGGAGAAACCAGCGTTGAGTCTCGCCACGAATAACTGGTGCCCTTGATTGTCAGAGTCTGCAATTTTTAAAATCAAAAACTCCGCCTTTTTTAAACACCATTAGTGTTTTTGCGAGAAAATCAAACTTTTCAGATTTTTAGTACAAACTTTTTGGAGTTTCTCCAAACCCTATATTCCATTTTTAAACTCACGAAGCGCTATTGTTCAGCATTGCCCGTAATTCGTGCATGGTGTTCTATTATCACAATTACCTTAGTATATTAACTCTTAAATAAATTGCTTTCTAGTTTTGATTATGCCTTTTCGTAGAGCCTACATAACATATCCATGTATCTTAACACAATGAGTGTACAAATAAACAATTTTGATGATAGTTATAATCTTACTCTTCAGAAAATATTTTATTTCCTAAGATGAACACGATTTGGTGTCTTCCTGTTAAGTCAGTTGGGTGTAGCGAATCTCTAGGTAATTTCCTTTTGCGGTAAACTTAATTTTGCCCAAATCGTCTTCTCAGAGCAAAGACAGTGCCCTTTATCACATTTGACGATAATCTCGGAGATCTTAGGTTGGCCCACGCTCTACTATTTAGTTTCCCGCTTAGAGATAACGATTATATTCATTGGGATCATGTGACACCTCCAATTTCAGTGTGTTTAAATTAGACCATAACAATTTCGCCCAAATCAAAATGACCAATGTTAAACTGAGCGGTAGTCAACGCAGTTCATTGTCATCCAATCACATTTCATATTTAACTGGAATTTAATTGGTCACCCTCCATGGAGGTAACAGCTCAAATGACCTGTTTGCACAGAAAAGTGATTAATTTGATGCCCCTTTAAAACGCCACTCAATGTGCGCGGTGTGAATTAGCGGGTCATGTGAGATGCGTTGTCAATACCCTTGACTAATTTAATTGAAATAAGGCTGTAAATTAGGAAAATTAGATTAAAATCAAACCACAAATCCTTCACACTACCCCTAAGGCTCTCTTTTGGAGGTTTTAACTGGTTCGGCACTAGCACTTCTTCCCAGCAACTCCGCATTCCGAATTCTGACAAAATCTACTCACACACCTTTTGAAAACTTGTTAATTTTTTTTTAAAAAATGGGATTTTTCACCTATGCTCAAGTGATGCGCGTGATGCAAGGACTGCTTCTCCTGGTTACGATTGTTAAGTATGAAGCTCGTTTGGTTAACATTTTTATTTAAATCACACATCTCCGCTAATTACTTCAAAAGGCTCTATTGCAATGTTAAAATTAGTGCGAATGAACAGAGGGGTTGGCGATGTAGGAAAGAAAGAAAGACAGTCTAGAAGCGTTTTGTAGAGCTAAGTCAAATCCACGGCGATAACTTCAGTGAGCGAAGTTCTACAATAATTAAATCAAGACCTTCTGTCAAAATCCACCCAAACAGGAATGTAGGTGTATGTGTGTGATCGAATTGCAACATTCACATCAAATGCCAACTAATTAGAATATTTTAATCCCGGTGTTGTGAAGTTTGTCAGTGCATAGTTACTAACAGCAAACTCAGCCTCTCTTAGTGTTAAATCTTCCAGGATTTTATTCCAGTTGGTTTTGTTGAGTTGCCGTGGTAGCTCCGTTGTAAGCAATCTCAAGCCTCGACTTACCATGAGATTTGGACAGCAAATTTTGCAGCAGATACAAAAGCAATTTCCCTGGAGTCTGAAAAAGGTAAGGAGGTGTTAGCCATGCAGTCATGCTGGATGTGCAAGAACCGACAATAATCGTTATGCTCAGCTAAATTGTGTTACCTGTGGCATGTAAGTTGACGACTACCGCTTCCCATTCCTAGTCCATTTGCTCCCTTCGCTACGTAAACTTCCTCATCTGAGGAACTGCTGCAACAGAATGGGAGGAAAGTGGGATTCTGCATACATAAGTAAACCAGAAATCGATTGAAACATGACTCTGGTCTAGCCAATCAATGCCCATTATCTCGCGAGAATTCAAACTCACCAATGATCGATAGCACAAAAAAAGTTGCTTCAACTTACGACGAATCGTTGGAGCTGCTAGACTGCTTACGACGCCTCCCAGGATCGATCACTAAACGTAAAATATGATTGAATTTCGGTCACGTTAACATCAGGGAAATTCAACTTTTTCTTTAGACGTTTTATGCACTTCGACCATTAGTACATTTTTACACCAAGTCGAACAGACCGGCAGTGAATAGTGTTCCCGAGTTAACCAAGGCTACTTGCTGGCTGGACTAGACGTTGATTGTCAACTTACGGACAAAGAATTCTTCACCGTCGTTGCAATCCCCCGGTCCCACGACCTTGAGGTACTTGTGGTCGCGTGTTTCAATGATCAGATCACCTATTTATTAAAAAAACAATAGTCAAGCGAATTTTTGCATTAATCTCTGTCACAATTCGGCACAAATCAAGGAAATGCTTTCCGCCCTACCGTCTTGAATGTCGTACTTGGATTTGATTGGACTGACTCGATAGGTGCACTAAAGTTGAAAACAACTACCTCAGTACACCATTGCATAATTACTCGAAGCAGTAATTAAAGACTTTAATGTAAATCGCAGGAATACAACAACTCAAGCTTACTGATGATTTGGTTGGAGATTTGGCCCTATGACGACGGCTTGGTGATGCCTAAATAACATCAAATCAGGAGTTTAGATTCCATGAAATCTCATTGGACAAATTTGTATGATGTGCTGAGTCGTGGGTTGTCTGTGAATGGACCGAAAGTGAACAACTTACTGTTCTCCTCCTTGAAGGCGATGCAGATCTGCGTGGAGAGGCCTTGAAGGAAAGGCAAAGCAGTGTGTACTACTTAAGCGACCATTTCATGCAAACTAACGATCAGAGCACAATATGAAATACCCTGATAGCTGATTGGATAAATTTGGATGATGTTTAGAGTAAGACGTTGTGTGTAAGCAAAGCTTGAGGTGTAAAACTTACTGATCTCCGTCTTGTTGGCGATGTAGTTCTGCGTGGAGAAGTCTTGAGGGATGAGGAAAATAATTTCACATGAAATAGATTGGAAATTATTTATTTTAATGACATACCTGATCTTCATTTGTTTATATTAACGACCATCAGCTTACCATTCGCATCGGAGAGGCACACGGTTGTGGAGGAACCTTTAATTAAAAACAGGCGTACCCATTTAAAGAAATTAAAGTTTCAAAATCCTTTCTGCCTTTAGACCAAATTTTATGTGAAATGCTATTACTCCTCTTTGACTAATAAAACTCAATTCAATGAAGACTGATTCATGGCATAAATATCTATCATCGAACTATACCTTCATGTACCACACTTTCGATTTTACGCTGCGACGTTAAGGTCACCTCCGCACACAGACACTGCACTATTCACTATCATTGTGACATCATTAGAGCCGACTGTGTGAGACGCCGTAATTGCCCCTCTTGTCTGTGTTGTGCGTCTTTGCACTCATCATTTTTTTACCAATTTTAAGCAGCATGTTTAACATACGTGAGGGCACTGGCAGTACGGCTGGTTATACTTCTTCTGCAACAGCTTCAAGAAGGCCCTACAACACGAGAAAGACGGTTTTGGGCAACAGTGGTAGTAAGGCTGCCCAAGTGTTGTGTGGGCGTCACAATCCTTAAACTTCACAAAAACGGTTGACCTAACTCCTTTTTGGAAAAGAAAAAAACCAACACGCTGAAAGTTAAAAACCAATTAAAAGAAGAAGAAGAAGGCGGTGGAATTAAGCACACAAGCGCAGTACTGCGAATATGAAGCAGAAGGGTAAGGCAAACGAGAGGATCGAAGCGAGTAAGGTGAGAGAAAAACCAACCGATTGGCCCAGATCTCGCCATCTCCAAGGTAGGCGTATGGCGTGTCCTCTTTGCCATCCGTGAATTCGTCGTCATTGCGGTCTCGCTGGAGAACCTCCTGACACCTGGGTGGCTTCGTGGTTCTCGACGAAAGGTACTGCCTTCAAGGGAACAGGTAAACACGTCCAGAAGGAAGTCACCACAAGACTTTCCAATGAACATCCACACGGCCGAGTGACACACGCCCGTGTGCACTTCAAACATATTAACTAGCAGCGCATTAATTGCCCTGGTCTTAATAACAGTCGAAACATAGATTTTCAAGCTAACCAAATTTCGTAGGAAAGCATAAAAGAAAAGCTACCTAGTGAAAACGGCGTGCTCATTCATTTTACTTATTTCATGGGTTATGTTGAAATGTTAGGTTGACACTTTACTTAATACGACTGTAGGTGAGCCGAATTCCGGTATCAAACATGAGAAATACCACAAAAAATATTGTGAGCCTTTATTCTACCATCCTAAGCAAACCGAGATCTCATGCACTTATGCAAGCAGCTATAAAGTTCTAAGCGTAACGATGAAAGCGTAAAAGCGCCCGGTCTAACAAGGACCAAATTTTGGACACAACAACTGCTTTGAAAAAGTATAGTAAAACCCAAATAGTACAGTGACACTATATCCTACCTGTACTCCGGTTTGCCATTGACACAGCAAGGGCATCTGCGTTGGTTGAGCATTTTTTGACGATGAATGAATGATCACGGCGGTGGGAGAGCATCGTAATAAACCCGAGCCAGTGGTACACTCACCAACGAATCAACCAATCAGCGCCAAGCTGCGAGGGAGAGAGCTTGCCTGTGTGACATAGTGATTGAGTGCAAAGTGGTTGAGTGCATTTTACTCTCCTGAGAAATGTCGTGTGGAAGTACTTCTGAGCTATTAACCTCCGAAGTTGCGCATTTGTGTGGCATCGAAACTAAACTGCAATTCAAAATTTGTAAGTAGAAATATAAGCATTTCGCAAGTTTTAATATTCGGAATAAAAAAACGGGAATTAACTTTCAATTTTGTGCGTAAATGCCGGGAAATGTGAGGAAACTTGTCTGAAAAACAATTCAAGCATTATCATCGAATGACTGACGATGGTCTGTCTCAAGATTAAAAAGAAATATGCTGCCTCCAGAGACTAATTTTTTAGTTTAGGATATTTTAAACAACGGAGTAAGAAGTTAAGTAACTGGACTTCCTGGTTTTTGAATAAATTTGACACAAGAAACACGTGGATATTAATAAAACGATTAAGTGAGGAGATGCAAGTTTCGAACAGGGAACATCGAAAGCCTTGCAGCTGAAAAAGACACCGCGGGATTATTGAGATGATCGTTCACTTTATTTTGTGGTGGTTAAAATGTTAGTCCAATCCACGGCATGAGATTTTGTCTAACTTTTAGGTCGTTTCAATATTGCATCAATATGCCAACCATCCAATGGTAACTGAGGATCATACTACGTCCAATTTTATATGCCAGAAATGTAGACATAATAAAACATTGACACGCTCGTTCTGAAAGTAGCAGATTAGTGCGACGTGTTAACTGACGACACATTGATTATTAAGGTTGAAAAATTTCCGTGCAACCGTTTGTTTCACTATACTGGTTATGTTGGAGCGATATTCTTGGTAATTTCTGGCGGCGGATCTCCACTTTTTAACATTTCTTTTCCAAATGTGTCAACGTGCACAGAAGACATGTCAAGAGTTCACAATAAATGACTAATCACAACTAAGAATTCCCGTGATTGATTATTTGACCTTTTGAAAGATCAGTATTACAATGTGAGAACTTGGATTGGTACCCACTATTTGGGTGGTTTTGCGTACTGGTACTGTCCCATTATTTTCCCACTGTCTATGAGCTTAACCAAAATTATTGCTTGTATCCCTACTTTGAGAACTTTTAACAGTGCTTTAATGACACCGAGTTTGTTTAAATCAGTGATCACCTGGAAACCTCAAATAGTTTTACATGCATTGGTTGTCAGTCCATCGCTTGTGGGTTTAAGTATAAGTGACCACTGATCATCATGGATAGCAAAAGGGCAGGAAATTTAAAGAGAAACCAGAATAGTTAGATGTTCTAGACATTGATCCAACAAATCCATCATTCGCTAATCATCGTCTCGCAGTGCCTTCAACCCTGCTTGGCCTGAGTCACTTTGTGCTAGTTTCTGCTGCCCAACAAAGTACCTTACTTCACAGTTATACGTAGACACCCCTTCCTGAGGCCAGGAACTATGACATACATTAATGGGTGTTCGTGGTCTAAACAATTGAGCCCACTTTGATTGCGCGGCTCTAAGCATCTTTATAATTCCATCACCACATGGAGAACTGACGCCAATTTATTATGTATGCAATTGTCCTCTGAGCAAATTTCTTTTGTGTCGTTCACTCTGACGGGATTTGCCTCCACAGGGCCTTAAAAACCACTCGAAATGTCCATAAATGCTTCCCATGACGGTTTAAAAAGATAAAGGATGAAATACCAAAACCGCTGTTTTTGTCAAGTTAGCATTTCCTTATTTCGAAAAAAAAGAAAATAATTCAATGAAAAGATACGACCTGATCCCTTAGACAAATTAGCAACTCGTTCGTGAAAATAAGTTCTGTGGGAAATACCGGTTTTTGTTTAAATACACTATGCCAAATACGTATTTCGCGCTTGTGGGATACGTTGCTAATTTAAACAAAATTTAAATAAACCTTCCCTAGGATTCGCCTCTTATGGATCGTCAAAATTCTCTCATTACCGAAAATTAAGTTAACCACGCTGCATTTTCTCATGATACCGTGAGTACCAAGGAAGTAAAATAGACTGCCTCGTGGGACCGATACGTTGAAATGATCTTCAGATAATTAATTATTTTGAAACCAAAACACCTTGAATTTTGCTAACATCACAACTAGTAGAAAGCCTTAACTAGCAGCCTCCAGACAACCTCTTGCGGATTTCAAAAAATGAATTTCTTGGGATTTTAACTTGTGTTTGTGTGTAGCTAATCGAGGCAGGGGCAGGAAACTTGCCGTAAGAGACTTAAAGTCTGTCTTGGCGAGCATAACAATCACATCGACACTAATTGTGCAGGAAATTTAAACCAACCTCCGGCTTCTAAGCAAAAAATGGCACGGAAATGACATAACATGTGGCATTCAAACTCCTTCGTGTGGTTAGTTCAACGCGACTTTGGTCTCACTTGTTAGGAACTCTTTTATCCACAAATACTTCATTTAATTTTTAGATATTTGACGTTCTAATTTAAAATAATTTCTGTACTTTTACAATAGACTTGCAGCACCAGACGAAAGTTAAGCAGAGCCTTATCAGCCATACTTACAATCGTCACGGGTTTTATCAGTGGCGATGAATGTAATTGCATCGTAATTATGGCAGTTGCCTTCATTGAAAAACACTGGAATGGTCTGAATAGGGTCATCTTCTAGAGAGCGATATAACTCCAAAAGGTTCTGCAAAACAAATTATCACACCTGTATATGTTCTCCAACAATAGCCTAGGTTAATTGAAAGGAGAGCGCCAAATTCTACAGTCATGTATTACTTCTCAGTAGATTATGCGTGTTTTGGTTAAACGTATGCCTTATTGTAAGAAATTGGTTTACCTAAGAACACATAAAGCAATCTCGGCAATTTAAAATTTTTCATTACAAAAGAAAGACGTTCTTGGGAAATTATGAAATTTCTTGAAGATACATGCACAGGTTCGTGATTAAGGCTGTTGCTTGTAACACTTGAATCCAAACGCTCAAGAATATTGCTGTCGCATTGTTGTATAAATTGATAAAATATCGGAGATGAGTTATTATCATTACGAAAGCATTTTGTCACATCCAGCCCTTCGGAATTCTGCAAAAAGCATTTAAAAAGCGACTGCTGTGTGAAATTGCCGGAGGTTTCTGTTTAGTAAGCGATTGTGTTTGGCGAATTGTTATGCATTGCATAGCACGATCGCGGTAACTTTGTTCTAGTTTACCGCAAGTAAGACATTGTACTTCTTGCTGGAAATCCGAAATAACTAGTTTCACGGTGTACACAATTGATGGCAAAATCCTCGCTGTGATTACGCAGAAGTTCAATTCTAGAGTGGCTTTAGAAGTTCGAAACAAAGAGCAAATTAGGCAGTGTTAGCGTTTAATTCTGTGATGATGATGATGATGATGATGCAGATGCAGATGCTAGAAAACACTAAGCGCACATCTTTTTATGTTAATATCGACACAAATGTAGGAATTTCAGCGGGTGATTCCATATCAAGCTCCCAAAATTAAACAGGTGCCTTTACGAGTATTTTACTTGTCAGGTAACATGACGTGATACCAAATTACCAGCCACAAGGCACTCATGCTGGTCATGTCTAAAAACCAGTTTGAGAAATGTTTTACGGCTTGGAAAATTTATTTGTTTTGGATAAAAAAAATTGTTCTTCCTTAAAATGACTACTTTTGATTACAGGGAACCACCGATTCGATTCGACACTTGTGTATATTAGCAGGTTTTTGCATGTAGGTTACGATCTGTCTGTATCTTAGGCATATCCACAGCATCAAACATGCGACAGAAGACGGTATACCAGACTGTCTCACACAAGGACAGAGGGGTTACAGGTTAGGGAATAGGTTAAGGATGGCCATAAGGAGAAAAAGATTGTCCTCAGAATCATAAGGGCGGCATGAGGTGGTGGGGATGGACAGAGAGTAAGGTATGATTAAGAATAGACCAGTTCAGCGTGCTTTGACCAAATATCGCGCGTTACTTTCAGGATGAAGAGAGATAAACAATAAATTAACCACGTAACGTGAAACAAAAAAACTTGCCATATTCCACCAATAAAAACCTAAATAGTTTCCTTGGTGCGTAAGCAAAATGCAAAATGAGTTTATTATAACTATTCATACTACTTATCATAGGTTGCTTCTAGTGTCCTGATAATCTGGCGGTTTGGTCGAATAAGTCGTTCACTTTGACGGCTTAACAAATAAAAAGTGCACATCCGTGGCATGCATCATACTTCTAGGTAGTTATAAATGGTGCTCGAGAAATTCTACAATGTATCATTATTTTTTGGAGTGACTGATATTAATAAGAAACTGCTTCTTTTTTAGATCGCAAGAAAGAATTGTAAAAAAAGTTGACATATTGTTTCGAAATCATAAAGTTTTGTATCATGCCTTTTTGTGTATAATCAGAGGCTTAAAACTATCGCAATAAATACCTAGTTTCATCGGAAAAATTCACAGTCTCAAGAATTTTGCTTAAAATTTGTTTTCGTATATAGCTGAGTTGATTTAAATTAGTAGCACATTTTTGAACCTATCAAGGAAGTTAGACTACAGCGAGGCACTTTCATAAATTATTTCTACAATGCAAATAGTTTCCTCGCAGATCATAGCGGTCGATCATATTTTCAATGTCTTCGACATTTTAAAAGCCGATTTTTTTTAAATGGATGACAGAAATGCATCGTTTTATGTACTTACATTCACGGTATTAAATCTCGGATACATGCTTATAAAATTCGAAATGCTTCTTCAGTTTTACAAGATTAGACAAATATGGAAAAATTCAAAGATGAAGTTCAAGATGTTTAATTATTTCAGCCACTATGGGTTCTAATTCACCCAGATGCAAACTGAGCCAAATCGTTTGGTAAATTACTGTCCGCTACCACCAAAATCTTTTGAGGAAATTAAAAGGATGACAAAATGAATTCTTACTGCCCAAGAAATGGAACTATAAATTAGGCATATGACCAAAATGGGCATTAAAATGCCTGAATTTTTAGATGCACTGCAGTACTCAAAAGTATTGCGGACAACATTAGAGTCTGCAATATGGATTTGACATATTTACGATGCAGATGGATAGGATACCCGAGAAATCCGGTTAACAAAATTGGAGGGATAAATTTGCGTTACAATGAATGAAATTCTCCTGTATTTAGTTTCATAAATAGTTAGCAGATTTGCACTTAGCTTTTAAAAACAACGTTTCGTTGCCATTGAAGTGCCCACAATTTGCTACAAAATATAGTTAATTAATTGTGCGTCTTAGTTCTATTTTTGTCTTTAGTTTATTTTTCTAGTAAAGCGTTGGTCCGTTAACTGCATTTCAATCAGATTATTTTAAAACGACTATGGTCCTATACCTATATGCAGCTTCTACGTTTTTCAGACTTGGAGGATTTTATTCGGCACAGTATCAGACAATGAATCAGGTTTTTTATGGAAATGTCTCAGAAAGAAATGCTCGACATTTCAACGTTCAGTAATGCTGATTTATATATTTTGAACCACATAATAAGTTATCCTATAAAGTCTATCTCTCGAAATGCCCTCATTGTAAAAGAATTAATATACTGCAATGTAAAAAGACACTCGTCATCTCTTCAATCGGATGTCATTTTGCTTGCTACCGGATTCTTAAAATATGTACATAAAAGGGAAATTTGCATGATGTTGATAATATAGACCTTCGACGTATGTAACATGCTAAAAAGAGTAGTTTTTGTGGTTGCCATAGTGAGTGTTTGAATTCGTTGACACGTATAAATGTCGCCGAAGTCGAGGCCGCGGAGATTATGGTGGGTTCATTGCGGGCTGTGTAAGAGTTTTTTGTTTTTCCTTAGAATTGCACGAATAACAATGCCGTTGTGACAGTTTTTTGTTTCCATTTTTTTCTAAAAAAACCAAATAGGAGTCTTTACTCGCCTGTTTAATGGTAGGGCTTGCGAATGCTCCTATGTGGACGTGCCAACTAGGAATCGTTTTCAGTCACGTAGCGGCAGTCGTCCAATGACACCAAGTATACTAAGTATGCTCTAAGTTTGAACTGTCTACAAATCCCCTCACTCAATTTGTGCCGACAATGTCAATTTCCTTATGGCTGCCTTGCTGGATTATTATTCGTTGTTAAGTTAGACAGAAATGTTCAAATTAGTTCACATAAATAAATGGTTCTGACAGTTGACTTTGTTGTTTTGTGGTAGTCTCGGTCTTTTGCGGCACTTAGTTTGGACAAGTTTTGTTGCTGGCTTAACAAACGACAAGTCAACTTCTGTATAACTTATGTGCTGTTTCGAATTGAGTCAATTCTCTGCGGTTGTTTCTATCGGATATTCTTGTTATTCGTTTCATCCATCATGTTGTTACTTCAGATAGTTCGCATACTCAGTTTAATCCAGAAATTGCGAAATCATGGTTGTTTTGTTTATTTATTAATTCTTAGGTTAACCCTCGCTTCCTCCAAAACGAACGCGGATGCAGCACTACGAAAGTTTTCTGTTCTCCGAAATTAAGCGAATATGCCTGAGTTTACTTTGCTCAATTTCAACTGAGTTTAATTGTAAATAATAAGGCCTAAGCGTTTAGAAATGTGCAGCGTTCAGGGACCAGTAAGGATACGACGCCAGATCTGTAATTTCACAAGGCAAACTTTTAAAATCTTTCTGGTATTAGAATCGAGTATCAATATCTGGTTTGAAAAGAAACATGAGTATGTGGCTGTAAAACGCATTCTAGAACATTCAGAATATCATTAAACACTTGAGATTTGAGTTTAATAACTTTATTAATGAGTTTTCCTTTCCTTGGGGCTTTTTACAGGTAGTTGTAGATTTGGCGGCGGTGGCAGTGTGTTTGATTATCTCTTACTTATGTGCCAAGTTGCGGCTAATCCTTTGATAAGCGATTTTACGGTGGCTAATACGTATCTCTGTAAATATCACATCTTACGGATATAAATAAATCCTCGAATCTTGACATATATTTGGACAGATTTAGTAGACTCATTATCTAATGCCGTAGTGTCTTAAATACTTCTTTATTCTATTTTTTGCAGTGGATCCAGTTTGATAAGGGTATTTAGATTTACTGTTTTTTTTAAATTTAAACACTCGAGATCACTCCGAAATTCCATTTCACCCTGTTAATTCTGCTATTTTCCTGGAGTATTGAGGTTGTATAATGGGATATCAAGCATTAAAGTTCAATATTTGGTCGTTTCATTTGCCTGCAAGCTGGCTTTTTAGGTACAACTATGACTTTTGTGTAAAGAAGTTAGTGCACATTAGAATTTTGCTTCATGTTGTAGCACATTAATATTTTTCATTTCGTCTTTTCCCTTTAGTCGTCCATGGGTGTTGCGAATTTAGTATCCCTAAAATATTTTCGTGGTCACCGAAACGATCACGGTCGGTTTACGTTAATCACAAAGGTGTTTCCGCATTCAACTACAATCAATTTGTTTTAGATTTTCGTTGTTTTGTGTTTTGACGAGGTAGTTTGACTCTCCCAAACTGCAGTCTTGTTTGCGTAACCCAGGCGTCACCTTACCATATTTTACCTTGAGGTCTCGTGATTTTTTAATTGCGTGTCTCAATGCCAGGCAACTTATATCCACAATGCGTGCATGTGCACTCCAATGCTCACCTCTTCTTTTTTTTCCAGGACTATGACGAACACCCAACACGTCAAGGTCCTGAGCCTCGTTGTGCTCACCCTGCAGACGACGGCGCTCGTTCTGTCTATGCGCTACACACGGCTGCCTACGCAGAACTCTGGGCCACTCTATCTCACCTCCACGGCGGTGTTTTGCGCCGAGGTGTGCAAGGTCGTCATCTGTTTCTGCGCCGTCTTCATACAGAATGGTAAAATACACAACATTAACGTGTCGTTTTGCTTGCTATTTGCGCTGAACTTCGAGCCTACGTGTTAGCGCCAGCCCACGTTTAGAAACTGTTTTGCTTTTTGTTTAACTATTTTGATAGCTGGGGATTCTGATCTCTGCTGTCTTCATCGTGATCGTGTACATCCTTGCTTTTATCTGCAACAAGTCCGCTGTTATTACTATACATCCAAAACAGTCGCTGTTTTTACTCGTCAATTCTTATTCCTTTTCCATGGTACTTGAAACAGCCAATACGGCGGATCGCTAAGACGATTGGCTCACCATATCGTTTCAGTTTTACTGAGATCCTCTGTTGTACTAATTTCCCTAACTTACTGTGGAAATGTACAAGGCTTATGCCTCTCACAGGCGGCAAATTGACTCATAAAGAAGGCCCTACCAGACACCTATTCCCCTGTTTCTTTAATCTCGGTTTCTTACTACACTGAACATATCAGAAAGCCCCTTAATGTCCTAAAATCCAATTCACTAATGGACCAGCGAAAGCCTGAGGTGATTTAGTTTGTTTTCTCTAAGCTTTAACTATTTAGTCCGGGTGTTTGTGTCTCCTCTGCCAACAGACAAGTCACTTCGATTAACGAAGGTTGAAATTGAGCAGGAGTTGTTGTCGGAACCGGTGGAATTACTCAAGCTCGCCATTCCCTCGGGCCTCTACACCCTGCAGAACAACCTGCTCTACGTGGCCCTCTCCAACTTAGACGCCGCGACCTACCAGATCACCTACCAATTTAAAATCATCACCACTGCCATGTTTATGGTTTCAATGCTGAAGAAGCACATCACAGTGAAGCAATGGATTTCTCTGCTCATCCTCATCACGGGAATTATATTTGTTCAGGTAAATTGGCTCCACATTTTTCGAGATGCTGAGTGGAGTGGAACTGTCGAGTTCCCTCCTAACACTTATGCCTACACTCCCCGAGTTTGTTTTACTTCACTAAAGTATCATCCAGCGAACACGATGTTTTACCTGGTGCTCGTGCGATTCCAAGTACACGGTTTGCGTGTAGTTATTTTTAGTTGACTTAATTGCACAACTTAATCGTGGCTCGTGAGTCAAATCGGGTGTGAGCTGCGGCTCTTGTAACAACTGTCGTTGTTTCGAGTTGTCTGTTTCTATTTTGGCAACCGCAACAGGGCTTTGCCTTTCTGCCGGTCTTCACAAAGCCCTGACTGTTGTTTCTAAATTGTTAACGACAGTCTAGGCAGTGTGGTCCAGTCTTCTTCCACTTTCAAATCGCCAGAACTCCAATGGTGTTTTATTTTGTCGTCATGTGTACTACTATTCCACCCAAGGCCAGTCCATAGGAGTCAAATTAAGGTCAGGGTCAGTCATCTAAACACCACTCAACACGACAAAGGAACGTGCTCTCTTGATGCCCAAGTTGTCACGTAAAACTGCTTACATTAAACTTTCACCTACTTCACGTTGTTATGCTTGAAGATTCACATTTTTGCTTCCGTGTACGCAAGTGGTCTTTGGCACTTGCAAATCATCTGCAAGAATTGCCGTTACTCCCTAAGATTATCTTAGTTGATTCGATTTGATTTGCCAAATAACGAACTTACTTTTAAGCGAACTATCTGATCAGAAATGTTGAGCATCTTTTAAACATCGAAAAAACCGAGTCTATGTAGGCCTATGTATGAACCATCCATGTTACTGCCCAGGACACTTCTGTTGGGCAATACCTGTAGTGTGCGAGCTGGCGCGTTTTTATCGGTGTGAAAATGTTCCTTGTAGTTGGCACCGTCTGCAGATGTCAAGTCTCCGCTGCAGTCAATGTCGACGGTGTCACAAAACCCTCTGGTGGGTCTGTGCGCGGTGATTCTGGCCAGTTTCTCTAGCGGATTTGCCGGTGTCTACTTCGAGAAACTGATGAAGAGCACCGCACCGTCCCTCTGGATTCGCAACATCCAACTCGGTAGGCGCTCATTCCAGCCAGCGTTTCTAGCGCGCGCACACACAGAACGCCCACTCAATTTGATTTATTTACCGTGCAAAGTTTGTCTAAGCCACTCAAGCCCCTACACTTACATTTAAGGCTTCTGGGGTTCCATTTTGGCGCTGATTGGCGTCTTCATGACCGATGGTACGACTGTGATTAACGATGGCTTCTTCCGTGGCTACAACTTCAGCGTTGTCATGGTGATTGCCCTTCAATCACTCGGCGGTCTGTGCGTCGCCGTAGTGATAAAGTACGCGGACAACATTCTCAAAGTCTTCGCCACCTCCATTTCCATTATACTCTCCTGCGTCGCGTCGTATTACCTCTTCAACGACTTCCACCCAAATTGGTAAGCCTTCACTATATTCTGTCTCTTCATCCTACTAGAACACATTTTTTTTCACCCCACCAAGTCGGAATATTCTTGGAGTTTGTGATTTTTTTGTGTTCTGTTTTTCGTTAAGGTATTTTGTGGTTGGAACGTTAGCGGTATTGAGCGCCACTGCCTTGTACAGCCTGGGAGAATACAAACCATCAGCCTCGTCTGAATTTCCGTCGGTTGTTGTCAAGAGTTGAGGCCAGTTGCTGCTAAAGTGCCTCTCTTCGACCCAAGATCACCCAGTCTTTCCATGCCTTGTTGATCTGAATTTTTAATCACTTTTTTTTTAAAAAAAAATCGCAAAAATTGGTCTCACTGCATTTTTGGACAGAATGACTTGAAACGCAGTTTTAAAGCAATTCCATTTACGGTTGTGTTGACGGTGCATTAAGGTAAAAAGCAGTTCGTCCAAAAGATCGAATTAAGCAAAGTGGAAGCCGTGTACACTTCCCGCTGATTCAGGATTTGAAAGGCGACGATGGTGACGCAAGCCATTCTCTTGAATGGGTCCCAAATAACCTTGAAAGGCGTGTGCTTGTCAATCAACATCGCCACCCACACGCGACACTAATGGAGGTATCGACCGCATTCCACCATAGCATCATTTTACGATCTCAGACCCCAGCTATCAGTTAAAAAACATCCAATTAATTGATTCAATTAACATTGGCTTTCGTGGGCATCCTGTCTGCGGTCGTATTCGGATATTATCTGGGCTCAAATACAAAGCAAAAGCAAACCATGAACCTGATACGAATTCATTGAATTTAAGCATTAGAGAACACAGAAGGAAATTTTGGCTGCTAACGCAAGTTTAAAATAGCGAATTACCTGTGCTACGAGGTGTCGGCGTATGCCAAAATTGTGGAAAAATCAAGGGTACTCCGAAAAGTAGGGGGTTGTACAAAAATCCATTTACTGCCCCAACGGAATTCAGTATACCTTGAAAGTACAATGGCTGATTTGTATTCCGAGGTCGGCAAAGTACATTTCAACGCATTACTAACTAATGGCAAATTCAATGAGTCTAAGAATTTGAGACGCAGGCATCGTCTAGGCGGTATCTTGACTCAGGCGTACACGAATTTGACCATGGATTCGGGCGACGCGATATTTTCCTGTTTTTACACCAGGGTCGTTAAAAGCTTCATACCGTAGCTGTGTTGTAGTTTAGGGTGTAGTGGAAACATCGTGCTGTTCGTTTAGGTGGGATTTCGGAGCCCCGAACAAATCACGATTATAAGTGTTTGTAAACTGATGCTCGTCTGAACAGGTTCGTCTAAAGACTGTTAGTGTCTGTGGTCCTCCCCGTTTGAACCACATTAGATCACACACGTCTAATCCTCATTGTGTGCAAGTCCTCCGTAATTACTGCCCACACGCATTACAACAAGACTCATCTGGCCCTGTAGGTGAATTGACGATTATGTGTAATACGCCGTGCCTTGTATAAGGCTTGAGAGTTAACGCAAGATAGGTGGGTGACAGGCAAAATGCCTGCGAACCTCGGAACTGCTCAATTACTATGACGGATTCGCAATGAACGCTGTCAGTCTCACCCCTTTGACTCCCTTTCTCTAATCACACAGACATATCTCTGCACAAACCTGTAAACGGTGATAAAACTGCGTTATCTCTCACTTGGATAAAAAATCACATCACTTAATTGACAGCTCCACGGTGCACTCAAGCGGAGGCAGTCAGATGACCCAACAAGGACACGCTTATCGTTCAATTGAGAGATTTACAGAACATCCGTTAGCTTCATTTCCAATAAACTTTTTGACTGGCCCAACCTCAATAGAGCACCGTACTATGAAAGTAGTCACCCACCTTTGTTCTTTGTCTAGATTGCCCAGACAATTGACAGTTGGCCGTATTCACGAGCCAAATCTGTCTTCAGACCATAACGTTTAAAGCTCTCTTCACAAGGTCGCGCTGTAAACTTTGAACCAATTTAGTGACATTGGGCAGGCAGTGTCAAATGCACCATTCGATTGGATGTGCACTTCCGTTTTGTTTATAGTAGCATTTTGTACTTGTAATGTAGTCGATGCAACGCGCAGCAAAATCGGCATAGCTTTATTTTTCCTGTCAAAAGAGGAAGTTAAATGGGCAATATACCAAGCATCATCGTCGAAATATGGCTCCTCAGATCCGCTCTGGGGATACAATGACTGACCACTGAATGTCAGTTTGGATCAACATGACCTCAACGTAATCGATCGATTCCATGTCACACAGATCATCGGCACCGTGGTCTTCAAGTTGACCCATCAAAAACCACGATAATGAGCTTACTAACATTGGTGTGCTATCTACAGACACGAAATTGAGTTTGGCATTCTGTCGTGACCAGTAGTTACAATCCGCAATGCGCACGATGATTTGGCGAAACATTTGTCATTTCATTTACCTATAACGCTTTGTTTTACTATAGTTGTTTTGTTGGGATGTCAAGATACCATTTAGGCAATGCCTGCATCCCATTACTCAACAAAACAGTTGTTCAAAGCTGGCGTCGTTACTGATTCTCCCTAGCATCTCTTTTTTGTATTTGCGAAATTCGCGATTGAAGCGTTTAAAAATGTTTAACTTTCATGTTGAAAAGCCGAGTGTTCTTAAGACACGCATTTATGGCTAGGTTTAAGAGCGATGGCTGGATTTAATTGACGTAGGTAGCTGCGAAACTGTGAAATTGAGAATCAGGTAAATACATGCGAATGTTGGAGAAGTTAGATTTCAGCATGACTGCAATTCACGCAGACACATTTCTGAGAATATGAGCCGAGTTTCTCATATTATTATGTCATTTTCCTTTAAAGTGCTGACGTCAGTCTTGAGTTTATAGCCAGTTTCAGCTAGCTTCCATCCTCACATAACTGATTCAATTAACGTAGATACGATGAATTTACAAATTGATATTGCTTTGTGATTTTTGGTACGCAAGGGGAAGTGGAATGACATAATGCGCTTCAAATATCCCGTTTTTTACTTCCTCAAAGTCTTCGCCTTACATGAAGCGGGGCATATTCAACAATAAGCAGTGGATGCGACATATGTCTATGTTCATATGGCCTCTAAAATCCACATACAGTGCCCTAATAAGCAATGAATGAGTAAAATATACCGGAAAATGACCTCCAAAATACTAAACCCGCATCGGAGACATCTTGGTAATTTATTCTTCAGTCCACACATGAATTTGTAGTGAATCGAGTTTATTCACGACCTTTAATCCTCCCTCGCACGGCGTGTTCGTTCGCCATGTTGGACCGTCTATTCGGTCACCCTTGCCCATGTCCACCCCACTATTCAGACACGTGTACGTTAAACAGATCAGATGAATTGCGCTAGACATGTGCGACCGTGGCACGCACAAGACAATTTGGCTCAGCTGTCTGGTAAACGGTTGTGCCTCGACCTCTCTGGTCTTCTTTATCTTCTCAGGCAGCTAAATCGGATCAGACTCAACACAGTGGTCCTGGTGTGGATTGAGCCAACATAATCAGTTATTATTTACATTTTCGCAAACTGCATTTTGTCCAGCAATGTCCTAAATCAATGCCAATCAATCAATGCAAAGACGAAATTGATTTCTAAACTACTACAAAATTGCGAATTGCAGAAACGAAAGAGAAGAGAACGAAATTTACCTATTTGCACCCACTACGGCTTGATGGCTTGACGGTCCTCAATTACAAATTAGGTAAATTTGCAAAACTTATCCGCAGTTAGCGACACTTCGTTAGGCGAGATGCCTTATGAGGATTATATCCACTTCGGCAACATGTAAACAAGTACCACAAATCCGCTGATAAGTGCTCTCCCGGAGTTTTACACATCTTTCTTTTCCGATTTTCCTAAACACACTCTCCCATATTATTGCGAAAGGAGTATTATGTTAACTACATGTGATTCGAACCAAACTGGGCTTCAAGTGTCTCCGTTGTGAATCGTGTTGACGCATACTTGTCAATTCGGATTATCACTACGTGTGAGAACATTCACCTAGATCTCGATAGTAGCACATCTCTGACTCCTGCTGGTTCAAACATTTGAGCTATAAATAAACACGCGCAAACGTCGAACATGACGCAACGACACTAGCTTGGTTTAGCTTTGAAGTCTACGTTTGTGTCCACGTCCTCTCAGGTCATCTTCGTTAATGCGGGAAGCAGGGGAGCGTAATAGGGTCAGCGTCAAATCTGTAACGCCGTTGGGGTCCACAGTAGCTTCATATATGAATATTTCATATCTGGTTTTAATCAAGATTATATTTCCTTTGGCCTCTGGTGTGACATTCACGATGTAATCTGTAACATATGAACCAGAAATTCACCTTTATGATAATTTGAAGACCATGTTACTTGGCCTCAGAACAAACCAGATCTGAACGTTGCATTGATCCGTAAGCGCTGCACCGACAATCGAAAAGATTAAGGAGAACAGATACATGGCACAGCCTAATTAGGACGTTGTTCTGCGCTTGCATTAAAAATTGTTTGTGATAAAAAAACTTTGTTGACCGATGCCCGTTGGGTAAATCAACAGAAGTAAAAAGGTCTGAATGCACAAATGATTGCTATAAATGATGAAGAAGGTACATGCACAGGAGGCGTGAACGAATGGTACCGAGTTATCAATGGAAACGCATACAATGAAAGCGGAATGTCAGAGTATGTTGTGACAGAGTTAATGGCCTAGAAATCGCGCGATACACTGTAATCAAGGCAAATTTAAAATTACAATATATTTAAACACACAAGGTGTTATCATAAACATTAGCTGTCTGGTGTGTCAGGCATCTTAAAATATGGACTATAAATAACAAATAAGATCAAGAGCTCAATTCTGACCGAATGAGTAGGAGAAACATTACTAAACTAAATGTGTTAACTTAAAACTTCTTTCCTAACTTTTTGCTAATCTAAAATAGTTAATTACATGAATGGTTTCATACCCTGGGATTTTATCCAAGATTGCTCTGGTAATAAAGATATATCAAAGAAAATAAGCCGAGCCTAAAATTAAAAAATGACAACCTCTTTATCATAGTTGCTGAGGCAGATTCATAAGCTTACCCGATAAAGCACAAAAAAATCTATCAATTCCTTTTCATTTAGGATAAAGTAAACTGATCAACAAATTAAAATTAAAAAGTACTATATTTAGTGATGTGACTAGTTTTGTAATCAGATAATTTCCGTTATTTCAAGATGAATTCAACCACAACATGCACTTTGTTGGTCAGCACATAGCCAATGGCTTTCAATATATATATGAAAGGATTGCCATTAATCCATTTTTGTGGCTGACACAAATGTTACGGATTGTTAAAGCTGAGGTGTACAGTGGACACCGAAAAAAAAACAAAAAAAACAATGATTCACGAAATGAATTATAAATGTCTGTAATTTATTAAATGAATGCAAAAAAATAAATCTGATTTTGGATTTTATTGGACACAAAAGACTTTGTAAACATAACCATGTTAATTTTTTTAACCTCTGACATAAAATTTTTTTGGTGGGCCGATTGGATTGTAGATAACAATTTATGTTAACCTGCAGTTTAAAAATTATTGAAGTTTGTTTTAAATGTGTCTGAAAAAGCGCATTTCTGTTGAAGGTGGTGTATTGCTAACCTGTTTTTTCTGTGCATCAAATGGGCCTTTCCATTTTATTTCTTATTTATTCGTTGCGTTGGTGATCTCACTTTTAACTAGATATTGCAATTTTTTAATGAAATTAATTTCCTTTTGCTATGTTGCCTTGGGTTTTTATTGAAAACGTTTAATAACTCGGCCATCTGCACGAATTACACAATAAAACTTTGCTTAACTTGTTAATTAGCTGCATATTTTTTGCAGTTTTACTGGAGATACCTGAATTTCGGCAACGGATATCAGGAAGTCCATGTGAAATCAAACCTAACGGACTGTTCTTTAGCATCTCAAAGCTGTTAAATTTGTTGAAAGTTGGGGAGGCGCTGCGTTGCGTGTTTTTTTATGAGATCCTTGATTTTATTACTGGACTGGGATTGTTGGAATTTCCAACAGCACGCGAATTGTGCAGCGCAAACATGCTCTTTATCTTTTAAAACATCCACACGAGTGGATTTTCAGAATAATTCGGTCCTACATTCATCGTTCAATATTTCACCACCCGTGGGTTACATTTTGCGCAATTAGAAATCTAAAGAATCAATAATTAAAGTATCAAAAGTGGAGGCTCTGCTTAACCATTGCCTTGTTGAAATTTGATTCTTGCTTGTCTTTACAACTTTCCAGTAGCAATAGACATTTATTCTATAGAACGTGTCATGTGGTCATTGGTTTTTCTCTTCGTAGAGTTCAACGCTTGCTGGTAAACGGTTCTTTTAATGGATTCAGAAGAGCGAAGGAAGATAAATCGTCTTTCACGCAAAGTCTGTAGCTCTAGTAGCGTTAAGAAGCGCTTGTTGAAAAATCGCATCACGTCTTCATCTGGCAAATCCTCTTTAAAGGGAAAGAAGCACGTTGGTGATGGTGTTCACTCGTCAAAGTCTTCAGTCTCAAAACACGTAGATTTTTCCCTCGACTTTTTCAAAACATGTGCCGAAATGAATGCTGTCGCTCCCTTTTCTGGAGAGGGCACGGGTGTCCTGCAAAGGCACCTCCATCAAATCACAACAGCTCTTGTGCAAACCAGTTTAAGAATCATGGAGCAACATCGACGTGGCACTCCTCACACCTCCGATATCGATTCAGCCGCATTATCCATGGGTCTAGATGTTCCATATGGCGCAGCCAGTGGCGAGGTTATCATGGTCAGAACGAATGGACGCAACGCAGCACCTGGAGCCGGTGGGAAGATGTTCTTTATCAGAAAAGACAAAGAGGTCGATATTAAAACATTACTCAGGCGCGAGCCTTCTCCCGTTATCTACGATATTAGCTTAGGAGGTGAGTTATTTGCTTACTATATGAGGTAAATATACGTCATGCTTGTTTGTGGACACATGTTCATTCAAACTACCGGGTAAATGCTTGTATATAGTGGAGGGAAACTCTTGCTTGAATATGTGTAGTGCTTGAACCACTGGCGGGAGATAATTCTGCCTTTGTGATCAATGTTTGCTTTCTCTGATCAAGTTACACGTATCTTCACACGATTATAACCCGTTGATGCAACCGCGTGTTTTAAGCCACTTTTTTATAATATTTGAAAATAATGTGATCAGGCGTTCAATTTTTAACGTGCTAATGACATCTTCAAATTGACTTTCCTCAAACCAGTTCATTGGTTGGCGGTAGACGGAGTGCAGCCAGCTTCCCCGCAGAATCCTCCACCTGATTTCTTGCGTCGCATGTCCATCCTTTCGGGTACACTGTCGTCGAAAGCAGAACCCCCCAATTCTGCCGGCAAAAACGAGGATTCCCAACAGACACCAACGGAATCCAAAGTCGACAAGGGCAAATCCACCGAGGAGCGAGGCGCCCACTTACGCGCAATGCAAGCATTACATGTGGAGGTAAATTATGTCTGGCTCTTCGCCCACTCGCTCTTCTGTTGCAGAGTGATGTCGCACTCCCTCTGCCATCACGAGTCAGTGGCATTGTCGGGCTTGCCTTTTAATATCTCACGTAATCATTTCTCCACATTATGTAAACTTCTCTGTCCACCGTCTAAGGAAGTAGTCGCCAAATGATTTTTGCGCACCCTTCATTCATAACCTTGACACTGAAGCTGCGTTTCTGTTTAATTCAAGCCAAGTAATTTCTGGAGTCAATGGGAAAGCCTAACTAGTTCCCTGTTTTATTAACCTACGTTGTACTGCCTTTTAATAGCGCCGTCCACACGAGATCAGCCAGGAGCTCATGCTCTTCTTTCGTGAGATAACCGAAGGCTGTGTTGGCGCCAACGAAGCCCGACGTCACGACGCGCTGGAGAATGCCGCCCTGGATACCGGTCTGCAGCCGCTCCTCCCCTACTTAGTGAACTTCATCACCGAGGGGGTACTTTCGCCTGATTTAGTCAACGCTTTTGTCTGTCCACTTGACCTAATATTAACTCTTTTCTCTCCTCAAGGTTCGTGTCAATGTGACCAATAATAATCTTGCCATACTGATCTACCTCATGCGGCTGACTAAGGCCCTCATCGACAATCAGCACATCTCGTTGGAGGCCTATTTGCACTTGCTGGTGCCGACCGTCATCACGTGCATCTTGTGTCGCCATCTTTGTGCGAAACCGATCACCGACAACCACTGGGCACTTCGGGATTACGCCGCCAAGCAACTCGTCACTCTCTGCAATAGGTACTGCTGATTGAGTCGCTAGTCATAAAAGATCGGGCGACCTTAGAAATTCGCCAATGAATGTCATGTTTGAAGTTCTATCCATTGATTGCAAAGTTATGCACATTGTGTCGGTTCTAGGTACAACACTTCGTCTAACGGACTGTATAATCGAATAACCCGCGAACTCTACCGTGCTCTGTGCACCTGGATTGATGGCAAGTCGGCCACTACCGGTCAGTCAACCTCGGCGGACGGGTCGCAGTCAGGCGACAATGCGATGGACGCGACCCCTTCCGCAGCCGGCTCTTCAGTCACCTCTGACGCTGAGCAGCGCAAAGTAGCGGTGGCAAGTGTACCCGGTGTCTCCCTCGGTCTTGCCGTGAACTCTCTTAACACCCTCTATGGCATGTTGAGTGCTCTTTCCGAGTTTGGCCCCAATTGTTTGCGCATGCTCGTCTTCCCGCGACTGCCCGCACTCTGTAAACGCCTCACGCAAATGACTTCAACTTCGGTAAATCCGTCGTCATCTGATACTCCCGCATCGGCCGTCGTGATGGATCAGGAGGGACTTCACCAGACCGTCACCTCCGCTACCGCACTTTCTCATGCCGAAATGAGGTCCATGGAATCGTTGAAGAAGCTAATGACTGTGAGCGTCCTCGTGTTCTTGTGTCTTAATCTCGCCAGGGGCTTCTAAGCCTCGCCTAACGTTCTAGCGTTTCCTATTGGACGTCAGGTTGTACTACAGTGGAATAGGGTTTCTAAGATCTCACTCAGCGTTTTAGACCCTTGTGGTGGTTTCTTGAAGACATTTACAGCTGTTGAATGCTTAGACTGATATCCGCCACTGTAGGCTGCCACTACCTAGGCTCGGGTTCAAGGGTTTTAATCAATAACTTCTGCCAGATAAATTGTAATTCTGAATTTGAAGTCAGGTGAATGTGCAGTCGATTTATCAGGGGGCTACTTTTGGTTAAATGACCGTGTATTTCAGGAAAGCAAACGCACTGGTAGAATAACGCTCTGGAAAATTCTTAACTCATTCGGCCGAAGCTGGTGTTGTATAAACTAGACCGTGGTCATTCTTGTGAGGGTGTTTCTGAATTCAGCTTTACTGTTGCGTCTGTCGTTGCAGACACGTCTGATGCCTCTGCTAGCAGATTGGCGTGCGCGCCAGAACATGCCGAACTCCCTCGAAGCGTACAAGGCCGATTACGGAGCGATGGCGTCGACCTTTCTTGCGCCGCATCAGTTCGAGGGTAATCGCCAGACCGCAACCACCGCTGGGGCTCTCATCGTCACCAAACTTCAGCCTCTTCATCCCTCGCCTCACTAGCTGCCATCTTTTTCTCATCCCTGTTGTATCTATTGTACAAAAATACCATGTTTTTTTTTTAACTGTACGCATTTCCATGGTTTCGCGTTTCTGGTTGGAATTCGACACAGGTGGAATACCAAACAGCTGAGCGTAATGCGCCTGGCGAGCGGGGACCTAAATAGGTAAATAACTGTTAGCCCGTCCTTCTTAGATAGCCACACCATAATGGTTGGCTACCAGGCACACGATAGAAGAATAACAGGAAGAACCGGATGTATTCCAGACTGCCGTGTACAAATTCAGAGGGCCAGGGATTAGGGAAAGTTAGAGCAGGGAAAGGGGTGGCCGCGAGTAGTGTCGGCGTTGCCCCCAGACTCACGGGCGTGCCTTGGGGAAGGCGAGAGTGCGGGAGGGGAGAGGAGGACAAAGAACATGTTTAGACCGGCGTGCGTGGGTCGAATAGCGCGCGTTACATGAGTCCAAATCAGCCTTCCCAAAGTCGGTTTCAGTCCATTAAAACAAATGCTACGTAAACTCAAGTCAACGACGCTTAACGAAGGGTTCCGTGGGGTAGAGGTAGACTCTATGGTTCGACATTAACTGTCACCTACCATGTAACTTCAAGCCTCCTCATTGTTTAATGTAATCAGCCAGCATGTAGGATATCTTTAAGGAGAATTGCGTGCTCGATTCTAGCTTGGTTCCGAATAGGGACGTAAGTGACGCTTCCTTTCGACTTACCGGATCACACATAACGACTAGCTTTTTACGGTGATCATGTTCTACAATGGCAAGCATTTATTCCACTGAGGGTTGCTTCACAAGGTGGGAGTTGTCGACATAGTGTAGTGGTTTCTACAACTTGCCTTAGTAGGGTTTTTTAAAAACGCGATCATTTGCATTGCACAAAAATCCAGACGGAGTAGTGGACCAATCATCATTTAGAGAACTGGCTTCATAATTACACCATAAACCCTGTTGGTGAAACCATCTCTATAAGACCTAGGAATCAGTGGCTCCGTGAAGTTAATGGCTGTCCATGCAAGAAAATTACCTCATCAGATAAAGACTTTAGACATTTACCTCGTTGACATGAACAACGTGGGTCGATCAGAGGGAATTGGAGAACGTGGCACAAAGGTCAAAATTATATGAATGGTGATTCTTGAAAATGAAATGATTCAAGGGTCATAATCGTAAAGATAAATCTAGACTAAGGGCTTTGTGGATCAGTGTGCGAACGAGGGGGTGTGGCGTACATTTTGTTTGCGCAAACCCTGAATATGACGATTTTGTTTTTTTTTGGGGCCCGGCACGTAATATTGAGTGAAACCTGTTGCGTTCGCCCGTAAAAAAGAGAAACCTATTCAAAAAACGTTACCATATCCCTTGTTGACGCCAACACCGACCTTCCCACACTAATACAGGAATAAGTCAAGAGCTCGGGTAGAGAGCTTTAATTACGTCAGCAACGTGCGAGTGAGTTGTCAAAAGTGAACACTAGTTCAAGTCAAGGTTGATCTAGACCTGATAAAAAGCGTAATAAACCACATGTGAGGGAATGAATGTAAGTAGTGCCAAAACCAACGATGAGCAATCTTGCTGGATCGTGGATCCCCAACAAAACCGCAAAGACTACAGGACGCTTTCATAAATATTTTTATTTACACGTCAATAATATGCCAACATCAATTTGTGTAATTGTCCTCTCATGTTTTGATTGGTTTTGATTATTTCTTGCAAACAAGCCCGTGATTTCACTTCAAAAAACGTCATAAGCTTTTTTTATAAAATATTGTAAATGACGAAAATTTATTTTATGAAATCATTCAGGTTAGGTCAACGCTAGAACCCACTCCGCTTCTAGTGATCGAAGTGGGTTCTAGCGTTGACCTAACAAGTAAACTACGAACCCACCTGACACACCACAATACATTCACTAGAAGCGGATTGTACTTTTTTCCACTTCAATGCTTTTTTGATACAGGTTCGTTATGTTAAAATGCAGATAAATAAATGTAAGTCAATATCTGCAACATCCTGAAACAAAGGGATAGCATTTTAAGTAGATTTTTTTTTGCGGTTCCAAGGATAACTAAACTAACTCCGGTACAAGCGAAGATCTTGCAACTCTTGAATAGAACTGGTGAAACAGCTTGTTGAAGTACTATGTTCTCATGCTATGTTTGGTTGAAACGCGAGTTTCAACTCAGAGGATCATTTTTTCATACGTTGGAACAAAAATTGTTTTGTTCCTTTTTACATTTAGTCAATAATAGTAGCGTACAACACTCACCATTTTAATATTTTTGCCAATATCGTGTAATTAAAAAATATGCCCTTTATACCTCATGTTGTATTTTTTCACTTCCTGTCCCCAAAAGCAATGTCATGAAATGTTTCTGCAACCAACTCATATTTTATTCCACAAACTATTTTTAAGCTACAATATGTTTGGTTCAACAGTTATTCTGCAAAGACAATGTAATTGCATTGATTTTGGTATTTATTCTTACGAAGATATCTATGAGAGCGTGACAAAATATTTTTAACACCTGTGGAATCCCTGGTGTATTACCGAAATCTCTCTTTTATCCTAAAAGCACCATACTATTATCTTACTGCTCGCAGCATATTTCGTTATTATCAGTGGAATGATTAACAGACTTGAAAGAGGTATCTCTATGAGAACTCATTAACGGCTTCATTAGAGTAATCGTTATAGATATTTGTTAGTACATTAAAAGTAGTTTTTGTTCAAAAATATTTTTTGAAGTGGTTTTGTATAGTCTTATGCCAAAATTTCGAGTTTTTTGATTGCTGCTGATTTGCAGACGCTTTGTTTAAATAAATCTTTGCTAATAAAGGCTTGTCCTCGACCAACGCCCAGTCAGGTTTTTGATCGCTTGGTAAGTGGTGGTCGTTTTCCCGGTGGGCTCTTGGTTGACGTAATATTGAAGTTCTGATTTATTCTGATATGTGTGTTATTTGTCATAAAGATCTATGAGGACGTGTTCGCCTCTTGTTTGGATATCCTCATAAATGCAAGCTCTTATTCTCTTTTATTTAACCACTTTTCTCGCAAATGTGGGGTATTCGGGTAATAGTCTTGGTATGTCATTTTAAGGTAGGGGGCTTTGCACGATTGCTCTAGGTCTCAAAGGCTGTTTATCGAGCCACGAAATGTGAAGTATGCGTTGTAGTTGTAAGTGCATGCTAAAATATATTTTGTGCCTGGACTAGGAATGGATGTTTTGTGCTCTCCTGGTCATTTTTACTTAGCGTTTAAGCTGGTCATTACCTCTTTTAGGCTACCTTTCGTTCGGCTTCCTCCAAAATGTCCATCATCACCTGTATTCATGCCCGTCAAATCTTTGATAGTCGTGGCAACCCCACTGTTGAGGTTGATCTGACCACTGCTAAGGGAATGTTTCGTGCCGCCGTCCCTTCAGGTGCCTCTACTGGCGTTCATGAAGCCGTTGAGCTTCGTGACGGTGACAAGTCAGCTTACATGGGCAAGGGTGTTCTTAAAGCCGTCGATAACGTCAACAAAGTTATTGCCCCGGCCCTGATTGCCGAAAAGATTCCTGTCACTGAACAGTGCAAGATTGACGAGTTCATGATCAAGTTGGACGGAACTGCCAACAAAGGTAAGATATTGTCAAATATTTCTCCTTCATTGGTATGCTCGAACCATGTCATCCTCGCTTCTGCATTTTTTTAGGTAAGCTTGGGGCCAATGCCATTCTGGGTGTGTCTCTGGCCGTCTGCAAGGCCGGGGCCGCTGAGAAGGGTGTGCCTCTCTACCGCCACATTGCAGACCTCGCGGGCAACAAGGATGTTGTTCTCCCAGTGCCCGCCTTCAACGTTCTTAACGGCGGCAGCCACGCTGGCAACAAATTGGCCATGCAGGAGTTCATGATCCTCCCCACTGGTGCCAAAAGCTTCACAGAGGCCATGAAGATGGGATCAGAGGTCTACCATCATCTGAAGGCCGTCATTAAGGCTAAGTACGGTCTCGATGCTTGTAACGTTGGCGATGAGGGTGGCTTCGCGCCCAATATCCAGGACAACATGGAGGGTCTAGAACTCCTTAAGACCGCCATCGACAAGGCTGGCTACACCGGAAAAGTCAAGATTGGCATGGACGTTGCTGCCTCTGAGTTCTACCAAGACGGGAAGTACAACCTTGACTTCAAAAATCCAAATGCATGCGCATCCTCGATTATCCCCGGCGCTAAGTTGGCCGAGATATACGAGGAAATGAAGTCTAAGTACCCAATCGTGTCCATCGAGGATCCCTTCGACCAGGATGATTGGTCTGCGTGGACCGGATTCTGCGCTAAAGCCGGAATCCAAGTGCGTTTCTCGCCCGTCGTGCCCTTTTCGTGGCCTCGTAACCACGCGCTCCTAATGAACGGCTCCCCTTTTTAGATTGTCGGCGATGACCTGACGGTGACTAACCCAGAGCGTGTACAGCGCGCCATTGACTTGAAGGCCTGCAACGCCCTCCTCCTCAAGGTGAACCAGATCGGCTCGGTCTCTGAGTCGATCAAGGCCTGCAAGATGTCTCAGGCCGCCGGCTGGGGTGTGATGGTGTCGCACAGGTCCGGTGAGACCGAGGACTCAACCATCGCCGACATCGTCGTCGGTCTGCGCACCGGACAGATCAAGACCGGCGCGCCCTGTCGCTCCGAGCGTCTCGCCAAGTATAACCAGCTGTTGCGCATCGAGGAGGAGCTGGGTGCCAAGGCGGTCTACGCAGGCGAGCACTTCCGCAAACCCCAGTAGGTGCCAGTGAAGCCGCGCGAGCGTCAATCGATCAAGTGCAGTCGTAGATTATTCACATCGTTCCCGTCTGTTATCTTCTCGACGACGATCGTATAATGGCAAATTTTTTAAGTAAATATATCTTTTAAATGTCCATTATTTTACCTCTGGGTGAGGGGAGGGAGGCTGTGGCACATTTAGTCGATGTGTTCGCCTACTGATTTACAGGCTGTTCCACATCTGTCTTGCCTGCCTGTGTAGCAGTGAGCGACCGTTCAAAAAAGGTGTACTGAATCTGGGTCTGCTTAAACATGCTGTTCCCCCGAGAGCATGCACGCCTATTCCATCAACTGTTTCATGTTCCAGACCACTGCACCACAATTTGGCAATTTCAGTTTGGGTAGGCATGAAGCTGTGACAAATTTGCCGACTCCTGCGTTTTGAGAGCAGTTGTGGTGGGGAACTCTAAACCTTTGGCTACTTCTATGGTTGTGCTTATTTTAAGTGCGCTGTGGTGAATTGTGGCGGTTCACACTCATTGACTCGGTCGCCGCATGCTCAGGCGCCCCCCCCCCCCCCCCCCCACATTCCCAGCATCCATTTCGCTCATGAGGAGAAGCCTGGTCCGTGCACATTCCGCTACTGCCATTCTGACCTCGCCCGCAGGCTTGCTAGTTCACTCGATTTCGATTCAACGGCAGCCTTCGTCACACATACACAATAAACAACTAACTTCGTCAGAACTAAGTCACCCAACGAACGGTCGTCCCCGCTACCTCCAGTCCTCCTCACTTTCTAGGGTATTTGAGCAGTGTAACCGGGCAAATATACCGACGTGACTAACATAACATGACCTTAGGCCTAGTTTTTTTTATAACCATGTGCAACGCAACCATTTGGCGAGATTTCGCCCGGCCTGAACACTAATTCACTTGCAAGTACCATGCCATTGATCCCTGGCAATCGATCATAAGCTTTTTCAAATTGATCGAATTTGTAGGGGGAGGGGTTGATTACTCCACGAATATCTTAAAGCGCGGCCGGTTTTGTCGATTAAATATCAGGGTGGGAGGTACTTGTGTAGATTGTGTCACAAGTTCAACGACGCTGAATCGCCTAAGCCTACTTTTCTATAATGCAATCTGAGCCTTCGCCAAATCTACGGCTTCAAATGATTATCTAAATTAAGAAACCCATATAAGCTTTTCTTGCGTGTGCACGGTGCAGCAAAACGAGCACAAACGGGTTTCCGGTCGGTGTCCAGGTAGCTGTGACTCGCCCCTGCACAGCGCGCCTGCTGAGCACTGATTGGTCGGCAGTGCAGCCAAACTTCTTCATGTAACGCGATGGCAACTCGTTAGGAAGTCAACCGCCGCACAACCGCCAAGGTTATTCAAAGTGTAAATAAAATAATGTCAGCACAAATGCCGAAATCAAGAGTATCAGAAAGGCAAATTTAGCGGTAAACTGATTAGTTTTTCCTAGAATTTTTTAATGTGTCTTAAACACCAGAATACAAATGGAGCGTGATTTAATTGTTAATGCTTTTTCAATACCCTTAAAGTCACTTTAGATTCGGTTAAATCTCATCGTGCTTTGCTACGCCACGAAAAGCATAAATTGGTTTTAGCGAACAGAACTTTCTGCACAAAAACAAACGAAATTGCGGCCGTAACCATGACACCGAAAGTCGGATATTTTCCTGACCTTTGGAATAAGCAAACGTGGCAGGGATGTTAGTTAACTCAAACAATATTCTTGTCTTTGCGTGTTTGTCTCCATAAGGAGTTTCATCATTGAACTAAGCTTGAGAAATTCATGTTATTTATTCGTGCTGCAGAGACTAGAAAATTGTTGATTTGGCACGACTTTGGAAGCTAGATGTGCCTCAAAAAGTGCAGACTGTTGTGTGCAGTTTGTGGTGACTGATACTTGAGTTTTAATTCAGTTTCAGTTAGCAGTGTAGACGTTTTCCACACATGAAAAAACCTTCATTGACAACATGTGTCCAAATTAATAAGGGTGTGTACACGCAGGGTCAAGAAACTGCCGCAATCTGCCGGGGCAAATCGAACGCCATGATTGCCATTAACATGCAAGCATCTAGCGAGGCATCGCGTTAACCAATCACAGCCTAAGTGGCACTTGCACAACGACCTTGAAGAGTCACGTACAGTATAACTGACCAATCGACGCATGGCGTGGACGAATTAAGATCACGTAGTTAACATTCCTTGAGAGAAATTACGTGGAATATAGAACATATAATCCCACCACATGGTCATAGACCGACAGAGTTAACACAGCATTTTCTGTCCACCTCAATATCACTAGAATATTAGGCTCAACTTGGAAGATTTTCAAACTACCGAGAGCTGGATGTCATTCAACATAGTCAAATTTGGGTAAATATTTAGAGCAAGTAGACATGATAATTTATGTGATTGGAATCAACAGTGGCGGTAGTTCTGGCGCCGAAATTGCGTTGGTCAAAAGGTAAAACTTTACTTGTAGACACAAATTACTCTTGACAACGTGCATTCAGTCGTTTTGTGTAATGACGATGTCGAGTGGGAAATTCATTAAATCAACAGTGCTGCTACAGTAAAACTTCGTAACTGGCATGGGTGTGCAAGTGCCTGGTGTTGGCACAGACACTGTTCGAAGCAATGAGCATATTCTGGGAGCTTAAGTCAAATGTTGCAGTCATAAAGGAAATCACAAACGGTAGCTTGGATCAAGATGCACAGAAGTCAATAAACCCGTGGTATTATAACGTGTATGAAATTAACAGAGGATGAGATTCCTGGGATAAGGAATTTAACCGACAAAGATCCAGCACATCGTGAAATTCACCTTGCACGTGTCAAATTTCAAGCACAAATAGCACACTTAACATTACTATAATCGATATTCGTTTCAACAAACTCCTTTGGGATTTACAAAATGGTATAATTGGACTATATTGAATGCAATTTTGCTCTTTTGCAGACGCAGCATTCATGATTGTGCGTGTGTGTGTGTTAACATGTGCATGCATATTCATTACACACTTTACCGCAAAGTGGCTTTGTTTACTGACTGATTTTGATAGCTTTAAGGATGCTGTCAGCACGCCGTCAAAGTCAGGCGCTGCCAGACTGCATCTCCATTATTCACTCGCAAATGGGACTAGGTTATGAGTCCCCAAATCCGTAATCTTCAAATTTTGAGGTATAATGAGAGCAATCGAGTTAGCCAGCTGTCGGTTTAGGTACACTTTTAACAGAGGTTACTAATGCATTCATTTAAACATATGCTGCTGGTGGTGCTTACAATGGAATGAGTGGGGCATTGCCTGTTGATTGCTTAACAGATAGCGCGTCACTCGATTGGTTTAAACAAATCCGTCTTCTGACACATCTATAGCTATTGCTCAAAGAATAGTGCAAGAGTTCGCCAATTGGCTATCGGTAAAGCCTCCATATTGATTTGAAATTATCTAACTTTGCTCAGCAAAACAAAATGCATGATATGTATTTTAAGCAAGAGTAAAACGTTGCCTTTGCTTTCCTTTCATCACTAGTATTTTCAAGTGGATGGCCTAAATCGACATCAGCCGAATATGATCATGTTCCATGCGTGGTTCACTGACGCAAATCCCACCAATAAGAACTTGCTGTCAACTCCGTGGGATTGAAATGGCGTTGAGTGTCGCCGCCTGCCTCTGAGAATCCAAACGTTAACTGTAGATGTTTGTTGTCAGCAGCAAGCGTGACATATTCAGCTGCAACTGGCGAACCGCGACTAAATCAAGTCCCACCAATACAATGCAAAAAGTCAAGCATATTCGTAAACGCAGGGGAACCAATTAGCTTTTGCGCGGTAACTGATACCTTTGTTGTGAATCGCGTTTATTCACACCCCTTAATCCGATCGCTCCACCTCCGACACAGGGTTCCCCTTTTCGGAGCATGCCACCAGCCACGCGGATCCTCAACTCCCTCCCCATTCCCACGGATGTTTATCTTGGAGTATCCCCACACCTAGGTCGCGATGTTAGCGCGTGTATGACTCACACATCCGAGGTATAACCCCACAGACGACACAACGATACCAGCGTGGGTTGAGCTCTGAAGTAAACGGTTGTGTCCACGTCTCCCTCGATCTTATTCTTCATCGAGGGTATCAGGGAAACGTAATCGGGCCAGGGTTAATTCCGTGGCCCCGGCGTGGTTCAAGACCACATGCTGGGGCCCACAATACCCTATTCCTTACAGCGAGGATCTCGAACGATCAAGCTACTACCTATTTCACAGTTTTCAAGAATCTGCTAGTGCGCCAAATGATCACAACCTGAAATCTCAATACTTTTGTTTTTTTGATGGAAATCATCCGAAGTTCCATAAAGTGGTGATTATTCCATTTCCGAAAAGATTGCGTGGACGTCGGTAACTTAATTTAATAGCCCCAATCTTATTCTTTGCACTAAAAATTTCTTGTCAGCCTATCACTATTTTTTCGTTGTTCGTTGTGAAATGAAACTGAGACTGTAATTACAAGGAAATCTTACCTTTACCAGTGGGTCTGTTCACTTTGAACTAAATTTCAGTTACAAATACAAAACGCTACAGAATGATAGACTTCAAGACGGCGGCAATACGTCTTCTCCGTAGCCTTATTCGTGCAAGTTTTTACACGACATTGATTGTGCATTGGACAAGCAGAAACACTAAATTAATGTAAACAATTTACTAACGCAAAAGGTGCAGTCAGACCATACTAGGCGAACAACTGTGCCGTTGTCACAGGAGCGTGGTCACGTAGCAGCTAAACTGTGATGCCTAGCACTTGACCTACCAATGAAAATACCAGATTTGTAGGTCAAAATTTCATGAACACAGAGTTAAAGTTTATTTCGCTCTCCCTGATATCCGCTAGCCAGAGTCTCGCTGGAATGAAGCTAGGTTTTCAGGAATTGGTTGCAAATTAGGTTAAAACTGCCAGTTTGTATTGCGGAAGCATATGTGAGTTCTGGGGAACTAGATAACCCAACCTTGGGATGGTAACACCGACTACATGCCTACCTCTAGACTACGTGTTCCTTCTTCTCCACAACACAAGAAATCAGCCTGCCGGACTGCTACTGCTTTCTTGGGGTCGTGTACTCAAATTAGAAACACGTTTCCGTGTGTGCTTTAGTATAACCCATTACCGTGCAAAGAAAACAATTTCCCTCGTTTACAAAACGAAATTACGCATGCTTCACAAGTAAGGTGCCGTGTAAGACAATGTTCAAATGCATTAAATTGAGCCCAATGCTGTGTCAATCAGTAAATTTGTGCCTTCGGTAAAGTTGCACCTAGCACTAGAGCCCAAAAATTCAGCCTTAGGACGAAAGTCCGCCCCGCGCGATGTTTGTGCGCGCCAGAACGCGTCCAGCGTGCCTTGCTGCGGCGTGGACGGCTTGACGAGGGTGACTCACGCACCACGAGCTGTGGCCAGCGCGTCCCAGGCACACGGCGTGACCTTGAGCATCACGAATCAGAACGCTGAGGCGTGTGTGGCGGCCACGCCAGTCTCGCCAAACCACGATTCTCGTGGAGGGCAAATAAGTTGGAGTGCGTCGAATCCATTTAGAAAATGGTCGCTTCTTAATTTGCCCTGAGGCTATACGTGTTCCTTTTCACAAGACATTGTCGACTTCATTTCCTAGTTGACATTTGAATAATGATAATAACAATAACAATGTCGTAACTCAAAAGGCAGAATTTGGCTTTGATTGTCTAGTGAGGGTGACTTATGTTAACAGGGCATCAAACGGTGTCGTCACAAATAGGTGCTCTGCCGTAACATGTGAAGGCCGAGTGACCACCTGCTATTGCGCAATATCCGCCTCAAGACACACGTGGAAACAAAAAAACTAGCAATATTTATCTCTTCTCGACAGAAGTAGTAACAACGACGGTCAAGATCATCGTCCAAACTGAATAAGAGCCAATGCTGTCGGATTGAAGACAAAAGGTTTGTGTCCTATGAGGTTTTGCCGCGTCAAATGGTAAAAAAATTGACGGAAACTGAGTCTTAGGGAGAAGGCATTGGTGATTAAAATCGACGGTTGGTTGTTGTCGCACCACGATAAATTCACCCTACTGAACCGTTTATTAGTAACATGAAAATTTCAGCTTCACATACACGGGACATTGAAGCTTTAGGCATGATTTCAAAACCACAAATTCAAAATAGTGGCCTCGGGCATATCCGGGGAAACAATGTCAAACCTCTTGCCACTTAAAGGAAAATTGAGTAGTACCATAATGCTTGCGTGAAATTCGCTCTAACTTGATTTATCCCGTCACTAACCGACGGTTTTCAGTTTAAATACGATGGTAGAGAACAATTACTAACTTTCAGATACCTTAATTGCTCAAAGCGGGCTGTTTATGGAGTAAAATAAATTATTTGAGAAAAAATTCTAGAGAAGCAGCTCAGCGAAAGAACTCGATCAGGGAAATAAGTCGATATCGACTAAGGGTATTTCATTTTCAAATTCAAGTCTCAGGTGGCTTCCATTCACTACTACCAAAAATGGGCAACTCATCGATTAAATTGGTGCTCGTTGTGAGTACTTAGGTTACTCAAAAAAGGCTAAGTTAGCTTAAATTGTGATTGTGAAAGGAAGAAAGCGGAGCACCAATCCGATTTTAGCTATTTAGAAGACATGACATTAAAATAAGTTGAGAAGCCCATCAATTCTCATTTAATAAAACAATGAGTAGCACACTAAGAAAACATAATTAGGTGGGTAATTCACTGAAGATGCGTTGCATTCATTAGCCCGGGTTACATATTCGTAAAACTCCCAGTATATTGTTTGAGTTGGCTCTTATTTGCGGTGATTATTTTTAAAATTTCGCTGCCAACACCAGGTTATTTCCAACATTATTTAGCCTATGAACAAGACAATTTCGGGAAGCCTGCTATCTTATGAATGACTGCTTTGATGCTAGGTTGCACCATGTCTGGTGACTTTTCAAACATCAAAAGATGTTGCACAATTAAATTAACGAATACCCTACAAGAGAGTCAGTTTTGGTGGCCTTGACAAATGCCTGGTGAATTGGTGTTAGTGCCTAACTTATTTCTAAAAGCTGATTGGTTCGGAAAAGACCTTGAAAGATACTCCAATTAATGAGTAAACGAATGTGGTTCGATCAAAAGGTTCTCATTGATTGGCAGTCCAATTCACCTTGCACAATGCGTAATCGCTTTCAGCGGCCTAATTAGACGGATTTTGCTGTTAGTTATGTGTCTAAATGTCCTTATCGAAAGCACAGACGGCATTATTTCGTTTCTATGACGAGAACACGACATCACAAACACAGCAATTGCGAAAAAAAGTACATTTTACTAGATTTGTTGCCTGTTTGATCAGACTGCTTTATCTTCTAAGCAAAGATACGCACAAGGAAAATAATTGTATCTGAAAAGAACTGTGAATTGAATGTAGTGCATGGCTTCTGGAAATTAAAAATGTTATGTCTCATTATAACGCAATCACGCTTTACGCGAACGGTCGAGAATGTGTAACCTTGACGTCCCTAAATAAATAAGTAGTAAATCTTGCTAGGAAATCAAAACGGCGGTTAGGCTGCGCATTTACCTTTCCGAGTGAGTTAGACAAAAATGGAAGTGTTAGCGATCCGCCTGACAAAACGGAGTCAATTAAAAGCACCAGCAAATCAATTCCACTTCAAACGCTTACGCTACAACCTAACTCGCTAGTCGACGAACACGTGTTAACATGGAAACATGTAGGATAGGGTTCTTGGGCAAAAAAATACGGTAAAAAGTGATTTAGCATTGTGTATTTAACCACAGATGCAAGTCAAAAAGTGAATAGTTTAATCGTGGAACAAAGCTGACCGACCGATCAGAGAAAACACCAGATTTACCAAAGGGCAGTTGAAACCTTCTTGAAGTGGATAAATACGATATTTCGTTTCAGCAATCGTACGAGTCAGATAACCTGGAAAGTCGTGGATTTCCTGATTCTGCTGTTATCATAGGCCAGTTTGCAGAGTGACTTGTAAACGCAAACTTGTGCAATCCTAATGAAACAGCGACCCACTTAAATTATTAAAGGAAAAACGATATGAAAGTGTGGGCGACTGATGATGTCTGTGACATTTAAAAACATTTCCACGTCTGTTGAGAAGGTCAGTGCTACCCCCGACATTTCTCACTCCCGATTCAGCCTGAAGTAATGATCGATCCGTAGTCGTAAGGCGACAGACTTTTTTCATTACCTCTGCTGTGCAGGCCAAATTTCCACACTTTCTGCTTGGGCCGACGTTCGTGCAATAAAATAGGTATAACCGGGAAAAAAAATGTGTAGAGAGAGGATAAAACAGAGAACGAATTAGCAGAACAACAAACACATTCGGTATGGCGAAAATCCCGAGAGCTTTGAAGAGAGGTAGCTTGAATACAAACCGAGGCGACTTCAATTTCGCCTACTCACAAGAAATGCGCGTGGCGCAAGACAACGCCCATGCATCCAGAAGTGTGTGGGCGTTACTAGATCAGGTGTGATGAGATCGTGGCTCCACAAATTACGCAAGTTCCAAAAAAACATCACATTACGAAGCGGTACAGGGGCAGTGGGAGCGTCAGAATTCCCAAAAATATGCAACTGCACAACCGAGTCTTCCATGCCCACAACCCCGCAAACTCAAATTGACCGCGCACCTCAGGCGTCTGTGATTGGACAGCGCCAGGCGCTGACTCAACCGTCAGGCACAACAACCAAACCGGATTCGCATTTTAACTGTAAGAAATTTGAAGTTTATTCTTAGTGCAACAACTGCTCAGTGCACACGGCTGGCGTGAATCAATTTGAGCGCTCAGCATTCCACAGCGGGTACCCACAGTAAAAAAAGAGGAATAAGGCAAATTTCTTGTTGTCAATTCAAGAGACGGAATAACGCAGAATATCAGTATACAAATATATGGTCGTGGTAATCTGGCTCTGTAGGCGCTACGCGTAAGCAATCGCACACACACACACAAAAGGTAATATACACACTTTTAAGAAGAGAAGTCGAGACCGAAAGGAACCAAAATGAGCAAGACAACGTAGTGAGGGAGCTGAAGAAGGGCAGTGGGAAGTGGAGAAGGAATGCAGGGCTCGGAGGAAGCCCACTGAAACGAGCACATCGGGCGGTCGCCCTAGCCAATGCCGTCGTGGGGAGGAAGGATGTGGGACAGATAGAAGGCTATGTCGTCCATGTTGAAGTCGGCAACAGCGTCCGGAAAGGCGCTGTCGCGGAAGCGGATGCTGCTGCGTCGATTGGCGCCGGCGGGCAGGAGACCCGCGACCGTGGTCACGAAGGGGTGCTGCTGAAGCGTCTCCAGACTGGGTCGCTCGGTGCTGTCGGTGCGCAGGCAGGAGGCGACTAAATCGATGAAGTCGTCACTGAAACAGGTCCGTGGCAACTTCGGCAGCGGCTGCTCCACAATCAACACCAGGAGCTCGAAGATCGACAATGGAGCCTGCTCTGGTGTTGTTACAGCTGCAAACCCAAAAAGCGCGGTTACTCAAGCAAGAAAAGAGCGGGGAGCGGAAGAATCAGCCTTTAGCTATTCAGATTAAAAGCTCTGCCTACGCGGTAGTTTTCGACCCTCGCGGGCGGCAGAAATGTGCTCCTTCAGATTGGTCTGTCGGTCGTCGGAGAAGCCGGTGTGGTACTGCGACTCGTTTTCAATCGCGGGGATTGGGTAGTGGCCGGTGGCAAGCTCGATCAGCGTCAGACCGAGACTCCAGACGTCCGAAGAGGTGTTGTACGACTGGCCCGAGATGCGCTCCGGCGCCATGTACGACCTTGAGCCAACAAAGGAGTGCGCCACCGAGTCGATGAGCTTGCCGCTCGCCCCGAAGTCACACAACTTTATCTCGCCGTTGCGACGCATCAGGATGTTGGAGGGCTTGACATCTCTAACAACGGAAAGAGGACATCTTACCAGATGATGAAAGCAACACGCAGTTTAACCTTGAGGACTAAGAGAAGCTATGGCTTAGAGGTGGTGATCTTAGAAAAATTACGTCAAGACGCCATTTTGTGCACTTCAGCAAATGTTCCTTCCCGAGGAGCTACCGAAATTCACAAAATTACCCGACTGATTTTCGATATTTTCATCAAAGTATGAACTTGCAGTGGATGTAGAAGCGAACTCACCTGTGGATCATACTGAGCTGTTTGCGTAGATACTCGAGGCCGCAGAGGACAGCGTAGAGAATGCGCGATACGATGGGCTCGGGCATGCGACCAGCGTGCTTAAGCACCATGTCCAGACTGCCACCGTCCATGTACTCCATGCAGATGTTGATATTGCCATCGGCAAGGAAGGCACCGTAAAAGCCAATTATGTACGGCGACGCGCAGTCGTGCAAAATCTACGAAAAAAAGGACAATGGAAAGTAAGAAGTGTCCTAGCTAGACGAGCTAAGGCTTGTGATTTGAGGGATTAATTAAAAGCAGCTCCGTTATTAGCCAACTGGGAACGACCAATCAGAAGAGAATCGTATCCTGATTGGGTCCACGAGGCAACTGACTGGCCGGGGGGGGGGTTCCAGGCCACTATTGACTCGCGGAAATGGCCCTTGAGCTTACCTCCAGCTCGCGCAGGATCTGCGTGCCGACTTCGTGCTTAATGTCCAATCGGATGGTCTTCTTGGCCATGATAATGGAGCTGCGGTTGTAGCGCACACGACTCACGACACCCCAGTTGCCCGAGCCCAATTCCGAGATCTTGGTGAAGTCCTCCGGGTGGAGTTCGTGGATGTCCTTTTTGCAACGCAGAAACTCCTCTATGCGTTCGCGCTGGCTATCGTCCAGCTGCTGGTCATCCAACTGTCGCTGCCTGCAAAGACCAAATACAACGGATTACCAGCGAACGTCTAGGCCACAGGAAGTAGAACAAACGCGAATGTTGTTGCTATGGCAAGTAAAAGATGAGTTGGCACAAGCCTCGCCGGTCACTTTAGTGTCACCATCGACAGGACAAATTAAGACCTCATCTGTAGTTCTCACAACACATAAATGATGTGTCCTACAACTAGTTTCGTGTGAAATACGTCCCTTTTACACATTGAATGCTTGAGGAAGCCAATGACAAAGGCATTAGTTTTGATCCAAGCAATATTTTACACAGGACATTCTGAGAGCGAGGCATATAGAAAGTCGGCAAGGTCACGTGTAGGCTGACGGGATAGCTAAAAGTCCAGGGTTTGGGTAAGTTGCTTTGAAGTAACTAGCGCCAGGATGCCAAAATACTCGAGAACGAACCCACCGCATGCACGCGCTGCAAATAGGCTCAAAGTTTACCTCGTTGTTAAGCGTTTTACAAGGCCCCGTCATTAGTAAATGACCCACTTGAGCAACATCAAAAGAGCGAGGTAGGTAGGACATCGTAACTGGCACGTGCGAGGGGATATTTAGCTAGCAAAAACAGAAGCTACAACCAGGCGCCACCAGACTACCAACAATTCGGTTCCCTGAAGGTTCAGCTTCCACGAAAAAGCATTGCTTCCAGCCTCAATTAAAACACAATGAGAGCAAAGACCAGGAGTCCTACGATGTGGGTGTTTCCATCTTTAAATCACCATTTATTCGGTTATATTGACATTGATGATGTCAAAATCGCAAGATCAACAGACGGTTTTGTTCATTGATGCAATCTAAACCGACAAAGCAACTGGATGGCTAGATCGGCCGATTGTAATGGACACAATGCATGAGCAATTGACGACGTTACATTTTGACTGACACCTAAAGACATTTCGACGTTTTTTCACACAAAATATGTAGGCGTGATCACATTTTCGAGTGAGTTTAAGCGAGCACAAAGGACGCAAACCCGTTTGATAACAAGGCTTTCACGAGTAACTCGCATTTGCATGTAATCGGCAGCATTGCTGTGCTTCTGCGGCTACAGGCGCTAGGAATAAAAGCCTCAGGCTTGCCACAACTTCACAGCAAGAAAGACGCAAGTGGGCTGTGCAGCTACTTCTAGGCACCTCGAACAAGGGTGCTAGTGATAAACAAGGCAGCTAGCAGACAGGTGCACACACACACACACGCTGGCCTGGGAAGGGGGCAGTGTTCGGTTGCGGAGAAAAACACGCTCTAGTTGGATTTGGCGAGCGATGCCAAACAAGCATCGAAGAATTTTAGAGGACTGCAGAATGCACGATAAGCATTAAACGTCTCAAGTAACACAAAGTGGCATTTGTTTAAGGACATTAGTTAGTGACTTGGAAAAAGCTTCCATTCAAATCACGAGGGCCAACGCTTAATAATTGAGAAACACCGGCCAATGGAAAAAAAGGCAGGGAACTGCGCAGTGCTGCGTCGAGCATGCATTCGGATACACGGAAACGTGGCATATTTTGCTTAAATTCGGCAGCCACGGACGGGCAAACAGTTGGGGCCAATCTGGTTTTTGCGTCAGCTATGCAAGCACACGGTCATGGCAACCTGGCAGGGAAGTTCATCAGATACGAGAGAGCGCGCGCGTCAAACCAGTAGAAATTGCACAGCGATTTAGGAAGCCAGCAAAGAATTGCCCTCAAACATGATGCTTGCTTTTATTTGCAAGGCAAGCACACTGCAAAAACTAAGCCAGAGAAATGTTTTTAGTGAGTCTTGGCATGGTATAGCCAGGCAGCATAAAAGGCGGTAAAGGTGCACATCGAGGGAAGGTTTGGTGTGGGCACGCGGCTTAAAGAAGGTCACGATACTACAAACGAAGAGCTCGTGTTTACCTGTAATCTACAACTTGATTAATGACAACAATGGCGGAAAGTAATTTAATTTTCACCCAGAAGACGCCCTGATGCTTGCACGACCCAGGCGAATCAAAGCAAAAAAATCACCAGACTTAAGCAAAGGTACACTTGGTGCTGCGTTTGAGTCGCATTTAAAACCGATTTTTCACACAAACCAACCTCAAACCAACAAACTTTGATTTTGACAATCCCCGAAGACAACCACCAGTTATTGAGTCCTCAAAGGCAACAATGATGGTGCACAGTTGGATGGTCTCGTTCAGAAACACCTGGCACTCAAACACCAGTCGCTTAGAGCCACAAGCGACCTTCATAACTTGACCTGACCTGGTGGCGTTTGCAGTCGTCTCCATGCGGTGGCTGGACTTGTGCCAAAAAACGCCACCCCTAGGTAACCTGACGCACTGCACAACAGCCAGTAGCCTAGTCGGTGGAATAAATTACAAGCGTACACATGCAAACAATTGCGCCAACTTGAGAACACAACACACACACACACACACGCACACTGAGCACTCAACTTGAAACTGAAAAGTCAGCAGCGGAGGAAATCAAAAAGCAGTTACGAAGAAGATTGCACAAGCGACAAACTTCTAGAGCAGAGCACGGATGCAAACTAGACTGACCATTCAAGCGAGCAACGCTAAGAGTGAGATACTTACGCAGCGGCAAGATCTACAGGTCCAGTGCTCATTCGGTCATTCGACTTGCTGACTGCAGCGCGATCGTGGCGAAGAAGTGCGGCGCCGAAGCCAGGGCCGCCGTCATTGGCGCCGAGGTTGGAGAGCGGCGGCAATCGAACGCGCGAAGGGTTTGAGGTTTTGCCGGTGGCGGTGGCGTTGGAGGAGGAAGACGAGGCTGGCGGGTCGTCGAGACGAAGCGGAGCCAGGTCGAGGTTTTGAATGACCACCTGTCGCTTGCCAGCAAAACGCAGGCCACTTTGAGGAGCACTGCTCGGGGGCTGCTTGGTGCCGCTGCTGGAGCAAGGACGCGACGTCTCCAAGTTATCACCTTGGTTACCTCCACCTTCTAGTGTGGTGTTTGTCAACCCCGACATTTTAATCTACAATCGGAAGAGAACGACATGGATCTAACTACACTGGTTGCCAAAACCGTCAGCATTTGGCAGACTGCTAGCAACACAACTAGATTACCAAATAGCAATTGTAGTTATGTACACAGCTAGACTGGTAGGACATCAAAACTGGGGAAATATTACAATTCAAGACACATTATGGAACACAGAAAATGCTTGGAGGGCAGATATAGCATCGCTTGATCATACTGGGGCCAAGTGATCACACGCCTTGAAGAGACTCATACACAGCAATATCGACCTTCCAAATCAAAAGACGTTTGTGAAACACATAGGCGTAGTCAGTCACCCTCTCTGTCAAAAAAGTAGTTCAGGGCGTGACAGTGAAAAACAAACTCACATGAATTCAAGGTGGTAATTTCAATTAGAGAAATAACTTGAATCAAAAAAAATATGCATCGCTAGAGTGCGAAATTGGGGTGATACATTAAGCAGCAGAATAAAAGGGTGCTTGCGGTTTCCCTTTAAAAAAGGCGCTTTTTGCGCGGATGCAAAGCACTCCCGAGTATTGACAAAGTATAGGATAGTTGAGGAAGCATCGCAATCAAAAGCATTAAAAATGTTGCAAACTGTGACATGTAATTAGCGGAGCTTCTAAAGCTTTTAACCTAATTCCCGGGACATAACAAGTAGGTTAAATAAAAAAAACCTGTTACCATTGAAAGTAGGTCTAAGCTAAGCCAATAAAAACTAGGAAACCACGTCAACGCTGCACAGACCTTTGGAACTAGGCTGGCATGAGTGCACTCAAGAGGTACAAAAATCAACAATCCTACTATCGCCCACTTCAGAGAATGCACAACGATTATGCTGATAGGCTAAGTGATTTTTTACAACAGCCCATATGTCCTAAAGTTAGTCTAGCTGAGTGATAATCTATCAACATAAGTGTTTGTAAAAAAACCGGACTTCTTAATCAAACTGCTATGCACTTTTATTAGCTAAATTAGACACTACACATTAGGAAAAGAAAACAAGAGAGAGATAGACGTTCCATGTGTGAAAGAGATTTCAATTAACGGCAGTACGTTACATCAAGTACGCAACGAAGTGCTTCACTTTCTGGGAAGATCGTGAGATTCATTTCAGAGAAGAAAATTCAGCTGGGTTATCGGGACACAAACACGCAATTTAAAACAACACAGCTGCAGCTTCAGATTCTAGGACTTTATACAGCATTGTCAGCAGGAAAAACTTAGGTGGGAATTTGAAGTTAAACCGCAAAACAACAGAGATATGCCCTTGTTTAGCTTTAGCTCTGGCACGACAGTTTAAAAAAGGGCAGATTTCTTCGAGGCGTCTTCCAATTATTTAAAATGAATTACCGAGAGGGAATACGAGAGTCAGTGATGCGGTAGACATGTTCTGGCGCTGCTATCAAGTTAATCCAAACAAGTACGATGAAACATCATGAGACCCGACGCTTAATTAAACCTCAAGTAATCTGTAAACGGACTAGCGAAAATACGATTCTGCGAATAAGCGTGGTGCAGTGGAAATTCCGTGGTGGGTCCAAAACATATCAGTTCTGAAGTGGATAAGATACAAGGACACGCTCTTAGGTTACGAGATGGACTAAATAAGAATATTGCACCTGAGAATGTTCAGAAGCCATTCATCACCCTCGTGATTTCTACATTAAAGATCACCATGACAACTAGTATAGGATACAATATTTTGAGGTGCGCGTTAATTTTCACTGTCAACACAACTTTGCACAAACGCATGAAGGACACTAGAAATCGTCGGCGATTCTAAAACATCGCCATCGCGATTTCGTGATAATAGCAATAAGAAAAACTTACGGTATTCATGGCCCGGGACTGCAAAAACTATTGTACTACACAACTGGTTTCGTAAAAAAAGGGGAGCTAAAACTAAATACATACGATGTATGCAAGCATAAACAAACGGGGCAATCACTTTTACTTCAAATAAATTAGTATACATTAATGAGGTAAATCTGAAGAACAGGATCAACGATACCACTTCATATGAAGCAAAAATCAAACAAGCGGCTATAAAAAGACGGTGTACCAGAAACACTTGGACCATCCAGTTTAAGATTTCCTAAGCGACAACAGTTTATACTTTGTTGACTCGGTGGAATACGAGATACCATGATTAAAATTAAGGGACACAACCACTAATTAAAAACTTATATAATACATTTTGAAAATCAGGTACGGCTAGAAAAAAAATGCACATATTTCAAGAACACATACTTTTTCTAAAGACGACGAGACCGACAACTGCACACGAACACTAATATGCGCGCCTTCTAACCATCTCAAAAGATAAGTGTCATCATTTCATCAAAATGTCTAGAGTGTAGACAGCCAAAGGAAGGGTTCTGCTAGCTTATTTAAAAAATACTTAAATTTATACATTAAATACATTTATAAGGCCAGATTAGTTAATCATCGAGGAAAAGTCTACAAAATGTCCTCGCGCACCATGGAGTAAATGGACGCGTAAGCATCCAATAATCAACTATTATTCTCCCATTTTTAGTAAAGACTAAACAGAGTCTTTGTTTGATTAGAGGATTCAGATTCATGTGCTTACCTTTTGATTGTGTGACACCAATTTTGAGGCCTACCTGAAACAAATAAGCAATTTGTGTAATGACCCATTGTGTCCATATTGCTTTTGAAATCACAGATCGTGAGATGCTTGGCCAGTATATTGGAGCGAGGAGCTGGTTGATAATAATGTGCATTAATAAATTGGTGATACCGGTAGGAATAATATGAACGCCTAATAAAATTAACACAAACTTTCGAACCACTTTCTTTAGAAATTTTAACAAAATTCAGAATTGCTGAGAGCTTCCGAAAGATATATTTGAAAAAAAGTCAAATGTTTACTAAAATACCTACATACTATCATGGCTGACAGCTTAACATCAGCCGTTCTTGGCGTTTTTGTATACATATTACCTGGATACGGGTTGTGCAGACTGATAATCTAGACCTGATTTCCAGCGTTTAGCAAATCGAGCAATAAAGAGGATATTTCTCAAATAAAATTTCGTTTCGGCACTCGCCACCACATACGTTAATTGGTTTAGGTTTCATAGGTCTGTTAACATAGCAACAGATCCAGCTGTAGATTCTTTAATAAACTACCACTAATTTTAAAGCAAAATTTCATGTCACGCAGACTCTGCTTGCTTGATTCTGGATTTTTTAAAATATACATGAGACCAAGACATTTAAATTTCTTATTGCTATTTCAAAAGAGCATCCCTACTCAAAGTTAAATTACAGCAACACTTTCGACATGCCACTTTTACATGCCAACGGAAAGAGGGTCCTATCTTCGATTAACCACGTTAATGTCGTTAAGGTTTTAAAGTAGGTCATAGCAAAAGTATTTTAAAATTACACTACAGACCTGAATGTTCCCCTCTTGATTAATTACGATGCCAGAAACATTCAGTGTTAGTGCGATCACTGATATTCACCGTCATGTAATTTCTGAATACCTATGTCTCCTGTTGTTATGATCCTGACCTGTCGATACAAAGATTGTTTGCGGTGGACTAAAATCAATGTAAGCTTAAAAATATTTAACGTCAATCAATGACGCAAACATGTACAGTTTCAGCCAGGTGCGATCCCATGTAACATGTAAGGAATTACAATACCAAATACGATAAAGTGCCAAAATTTTGTTCAGCCATCAAGGCACTTGTTGCGCATCGGGTTTATTTACTAGTACAAATAGTGCGCAAACAAAGATGAATAGCAGGCTTTACTAATATATACAGAAAGCAACCGACATAAGCATTCCATTTCATCAGTGCAGTCAAAGTTTTCGACCAATTAGCTCATCCGAGAAGCCACCGGAGATGAGTAGGCTTGGGGATCAGCAGCACATTGACTTCAGTGACGTTCATGAAATCCCGATTTTCGCTACACCTCTTCCCTTGGCAAAAAATTGCGACAACCTTAACTTTACGCAAATTGGCTAAAAGGTCTTTTGCGATTTCACGTGACTGCCCGAATTCGTAGCTTTGTGATTGGTCAGAGCTCACTGCAGACGAATTAGCGATACTACTATTCTAAAAGATTGATCAAATTTGGTATGTAGTTTCAGATCGCAGACGACGTAAAAGAGAGTCGAAAATAAAAGAAAAACAGCAAAAGATCTTGACATTATGGGTTGGATCAGATTTTAGACAGCCAACATTAACAAAACATGAATACATTTGTAACCCAAGGCTTAACAATATAAACTATCACATTCTGCCTAGTTATTGAAGGATTGAACAGGGACCGAAAATCAGTTGGCGATTGAAGACCATTCGAGGAGGTTTGAGCACTCTACAAAACAAATGCCAGCCCTGAAAAAAAAATAAAACATAAGTAAACAGACAATTTAATGAATAATAAGAAAATATTGATGATTCCTTGTCCAAATATTTAACACGATAGACATTTTTATTTAAAACGTAATAGTTAAGCCTTTACCGCAGAGTGAGTGATAATCAACTTTTTAATATCACGAGGGCTGGGTGTCGGTTACGAGTGGGGCTTGATATATTGGAGCTGCTCTATTTTAAAAAAAAGCTTTACTGAATTGCATATTCGATACCGCGTCTTCCTTTCCTTCGAGTTAGACGATGAAGACAATTCCCTCTCGTCTTAGTACTTCGAAATGCCCATCAAAAGTGGATTTTAGTGGTTGATGTGGCCTCATGTCGAACAAATACGCAGGTGTGCCATAAGTATGGAAAACTAGTTTGGCAAACGAAGCAGAAATTCAAATTAGAAAAATCATCATAGCGACTCTTGCCTTAGGGGAAACATTTGTGGTACAGTGCGCCAAGCTGTGCCCTGATCTCTAAACTGTCAAGGACTAGCTAAAAGCTAGGCCACGAATAGATTGGAACTAAGACATGCTGCATAACACCTCATTTGTAACACAGACGCGTTAGATGTGTTAAAATCGTCTACACATCAAGAGTTATGGAAGGAACCGCCGCGTCAGTTGGCTAACAGTTTCAAACACTAAATTTGATGAGGTAGAATTCGGAAAGTTGGCCAAGAATGATGAAGGTAAGGTTGTGGCTGGTTTTAAATTGCTTGAAATTTTTTGGTGGATCTAAATTGAGTTTAAAAATTGCAAAGCCGATTTACCGAAATATGTTACATGAGGTCAAATATCACGTGTCGTTTGTGACTTTGAAGGGATTTCTGACGATTGGAAATATGTAAACCATGTGGATTCAATCCGATCAGGCATCAAACACAATGTCAAATAACCAAAATAAAATTCTAGTAAAGCGAAATAATTTGTCAAGGACATTACTATAAGGTTGAAAAATTCTCAAAATTTTGTCTTAGACGGAAACGGCCCGCTGTTTGTCAATACTCTTCGGCGACTTCTAAAGCAAATATGCCTAGTCTGAACGGGAAGTTAATTTTTCAAGCGATGACTATCATTCGTCGGTGATTGAATCCCCTCAAACGTTACAGCCAACGGTTACTTGCGTGTTAGTTGGAGCAGGTCTTAGATTTTCCTCAAAATCTAGTAGCCGAAACTCAGGCAGGTAGGCCTTAAAATTCGGGAAAGGCATTACAACAACCAAGTTATGGCGTTTAAATTCAAATGCTGGGGGGGGGCGCGTTTTCAGAATCACGGAATTAGGGTTATTTGAACGAACAAACCATGATGCTGCATCACGGCCACCTGTACCATCAATTACTTAGTTCAATTGACATCTATCATCTAATGCAACTTCAAGCATTTGGTTATGTTGTTAGAAGACGCTGCAGTAGCGTCCAATTGTTCATGTATATTCCCGAAGTGAGTCTGAATTCGCAGGTAACTGAGTAGGATCTCCGTGGTGGCGCTTGAGAAGCACCGTCCATCGCGGTCACTTCAAAAGAATTTTGCCGAAGTAACTAAACATAGGAAACACCGTTTTTCTTCAATCCACGAAACAAGTCCGCGTTCGATAATTGGTTCTAACAAAAAAAACCGCGTTTGATTGGCTTAGCTTGCAGAGTTGAGGCCCGCACTGTATTGAACATTCACTGTAATCTCATATTCTATCATAAGATCGCTTAAATGATAGGGGAGACATTACGGAAGCCTTCTGTTTAGTTTAGCATAGGAAACATATGCATAGAAGCTGGAGGTGAAATAGTGTGAGACAATGATGCTTCCTTTCTAGTAGTTTCTCGCTTTGAGGCTTGACATTTTGTTAGGTTCTGCCAATAAAACAGGCGAATTTGATGGCGGAAATCGAGAACTGTACACATAAAGGCTGAATGCTGTCGGTAACCCCGTCTACGAAAAGCAAGAGGCTGAAACCCAGTTCGTCCACCTATCAGCCCAATCATGTCTCACCAAAAATGCCGTGATCGCCACCGCCGATTAGAACACGCAAGAAATATCACCGGCAATCCTCACTCTACCTGTCGTGGTTCGCAGCGTCCTACAGCGAGCCTTCTCAAACCGCACGCTACCAGAGCCCTACAGCACTGTCCAGAGAAAGTAGACTAAGCGTTCGCTAGCTGGTGACCTCCAAGCGCTGTCCCAGGGAAACAAGTCAACTTGCTTTGTAGGCGGATGTTTGATGCGCGGAGAACACTAGGTGTTTCCTGCATTTCTCCGTCGTTGGTTCATCCCAAATTTTATAGCTGAGGTCTATTACTCGCAACTATGCTTACTAGCTGCTTATAGACCAACAAATACTAAACCAGACACGTTATGTTGCCTTAACTACAAGCCTATAGTTATTCACTACCAGGTACCACTAAATGCCAACTGAAATCTTGTAGTTTTCCGTTGTTTAGCGATAGAAAACTGGATCGATTTTTAGTTAAATAAGTAAAAACACCTGAAGTGCCACAGTTCTGAAAGGCATCAAGTGCAAATAATCAGTTGTATTGGGTTCACGAAACGATAGGCATTACTAAAACAACTTAACCACGCTTGGTTTTCGTGCCATTTACTTTGTAATGATAAAATACCGCGAAAATCTGTTATGAAAGTGCTATGAAACTCAATATTTTTCCAGACGTTAGTAGGAAAAACACCAATTAGGCTATGAAAAGCTGAGTTCGAGCAATTGAACCCGGCCAACAACACGAAGCAGCGATGATGCGAACCACAAAAACAAACAGACGCAAAAAATCATTTCGACATCGTGACTTACTAGCGAATTGACTTGTCATTGACTATCATTCACGGCGTGATCGAAATTCGAGGACCAAATTAGCTCCGTTGCAAGATAGTTAAAACATAGTGTAGTTCCCGCATCACTGATAAGCGTCAATAAGAAGGGCATGAAGCAGCAAGACCTTAAACGTTTCATTGTTCTGTGGATTGATTCAGTGACATAGGTTACTTCAATCGAGAACAAACCGCTGTTAATGGAGATGTTGTATGGATAATCAGACGGGTTAGGTTGTCGTTCAGAGTGCCGATCATCTAGCCCCCAAGATGAATTTGTTGCAGTGGTCGCGATTGACATTCCAATAGACATTAACCAGTGTCTAATGAAGCATTAAGCACATCTTCTGAAGCAACATGTGACAGTCGGTTACGCATTCGTTTTTTAAATCAACGGACAGTGCCTTTACACTAAAATAAGCCAATTTGACATTATAAATGGTTCTTACGCTCCTATTAGCGCAAAGTTCATTGCGGTTAGTATTTTTTTAAAGAAAGGCCAAGAATACAATTACACACAAAGAAAGTTAGTTAACTGAGCATTTTATTGTTGCGATTTCACGAAATGATCAGAAAACAAAATCAGAAATATAATTATGTCCTAACTAATCAAGGCACTCCACCATCAAATTTTAATTCCCAGTGATACTTTCTTTGAAAAGGAAACAAACTAAGGGCATTTGAAATACATAGCACAAACTTCTATTAAGCGTGCCTGGTTAGTTAAATTCAGATCAAGACTTAAA